CATAAACAGGTGTATATACAATGCCTTTTCTACAGCCTTTCTACCACCAGTGACCATATGAACCACCACGTAATTATCAGATGTTGCAAAGAGGTATGAAGCTCCATCCACCTCAACGTCAGCCACCCAACCTCATCCACCAGCTAAAGGTCACTTTTGACAGGACGTTCAAGAGTTGCAAGCCATCATTGACTCCATCCTCATCTGTTTCCCAAACCTTTGGTGGCTGCCTGGTGTACATTTGTAAGGTGCCAGCTTGGAGTTGCATCCATCCCTTCACGAAGCATGACACTTTAGTCCAAGCCTCTTCTGAAGATGCAGCCTTGGGAACGGCAGTATTACAGTAATCTATATCGCCTGCATCCTTGCACCCCCGATGACGACTGCTTACCAGTCACCCACATTTGGAGTACACATCGGTACCAGCTCACAAAGAAGAAAGTTACTTACCTGTAACTGGACATTCTTCAAGATGTGTGGTCCCTGTCTGTATTCCACTACCCTCCCTCTTTCCCTTCTGCTTTAGATCATGACTGGACTAATGATTGAGAAGGAACTGGTCTGCAAGATTTTAGAATTAGTAGATCTCATCCTCTTGTACTTTGTTTTTAGCTATTGATTAGATATAGAAAACAAACTTTACTGATTTTTCAAATGCCAGTCAGTTTCTCAACTTTGACTGAATTAGTCATTGAACTGAACCAACTGAATAAGTAGAAATGAAGAAAATATTCTCTCTTCAGCTGCAGAAGAGGCTACTGCTGTCAAAAGCTGATTTTATTTAAATAATAAAATCAGATTTTAAATTTAAAAAATGATTTAAAGTTAAAAAAATCAGATATTTATATATTTATTTATTTTTAATAAGTGATTTTTATCCACCTTTCCAACAAGTGTCACAGGTAGATTTCTGAGAGAGAACAAGGAGAGAGGCTTTTGGGGAGGAAAATAAGATGGTTTTTATAACTATTACAGTGCTCCTTTTTGGCTATTAACATTTTATGCAAGTCCTGTTTTTATTAAATACTGAATAGTTAGGCTTGGCACAATTAGATTTTTTTCAGTAAATGTTGATTTCACCGTATAAACACAAACCAATGAAAGAACATCTCCATCAATGATGATCGACCGTTACGGATAGGCAAAGTAACTACTTACTAGAGTTTGATTGAAAGATAGTTACTTGGCATATTTTGACATTTGATGTTGACAGTTTGTGTTTTTAACAGTTGTAAAGGTTTAACTTTTTGAATCGCAACATCTGTCATTAAATAACTATTATTTAACACCCCCCCCCATAATTGCTTGCAACTGTGAACATTTAAATTAATACAAATAGAAAAAAATGCTTAAAACTCATAATTTTGTGCAACTGTGAAAAACTGAAATAGATAAAAATAAAAAAAATTTGACCATGGGCTCTCCAGGCTAGAAGGCAAAGGTATAATGAGATCCAATGGCTGGAAGTTCAGGCTGGAAGAATTCATGCTGAAAAGTTGGTGCCCATTTTTTTACAATGAGGGTCATTAGCCACTAGAACAGCTTAGCAAGGATTGTGGTGGATTTTTCCATCACTGGAAATCTGTTAATCAAGGTTGGATTTCCCCCCACACACACACACACACGCTCCCCCTCCAAAAAAAGACATGCTCTGGTTCAAACATGAATTAATTCTGGGAAGTCTGTTATCTACTCTGACCTCCTGTAGGATCACAGTGGTCCCCTCTGGCTGTAGCATCTTTGAAACTATGAATCCTGCCAAGCCAATTAATAATAATGGTTTGTGGTGTGTTCCACTCCTAGATTCCAAAGGGCTTTACAAACGTTGGTCAGTGTCATTATCCCCCATGTTACAGATGGGGGAACTGAGGTACAGAGAGGTTCATGCCAGAATTTCCAAAGGAGGGGTCCTGATCCTAAGTTCCCTTTCTTTAAATTCAGTGGGCTTTGGATCAAGTCTTCCTAGTTGTCTTACATAAAAGCCTAAAGTGAAATGCATGATGTGGAGACTCTGTGCTACACTGCCCTCTAGTGGGTGGAATGAGAACTGATTAAATGCTTGCTTTGAATTAATAGTGCTCTCCCCCTCAAAAAAAGTGTTAATGTTTTAAGTTGAAAAAAATCTATTCTTTTCACTCCATTCTTACCCACAGAGGGCTAAAAGGATTTCCCTCAAACCTAACAAAAATTACTCCTGGGCTTGAGATCAAGCATGGAACGTTTCATCCCAAAAGGAGGATTTTTAAGGAAGGTCTTGGGATGTGAAAGTAGGTCCAAATGGAAGCCAGAATAAACTTTAACTCTCACTATGCCCCCCGCCTCACCCCAGGGGAGAGGCTCCCACCAGTGGAGATTTTAATCACTGCAGATGGAATTCAGTCCACTTGCAGATAGCCTGGGGACTCAGGCTCTGCCTGTGAGCAGAGAGCAGCCAGGGAAGCAAACCCCAAGCCAGAGGCCAGGATGTGGGGAAATGGAAGCACAGAGACCTTTAGGTCACTTGCCAGTGACAGTGCAGGGAAAGGAACTCTGAGGTCATGATGCCAGGTCCCCTGCTCTAATCACCAGTCAGTATCTGTGGCCAGCCAGGGGCAGTGGGGCATAGGATGGTGGGGCCATCCAGCCCAGTGCAAGGGCACTGTATACTAACTGGCAGTTGCCAGATGCACACTGGCCCGCCCAGCCCTGTGCTGCCAGTGTGCCGCTTCCCCTTGGGGGTGGGCCCATACTGTGCCCCCCCCACTCCTGCCCAGCACCCCCACACACAGCCACACCACTACTTCCCAATGCACTTCCCCACAGCCCACCACCACAACTACACAGAACCCCACTCAGACCCCCCCACTGCTCAGCATCCCAACACACAGACCTCCCCCACTGCCCCCCAAGAGACTCCCCACTGGCCAACAGCCCCATACACACCTCCAGAGACCCACTCCCTCACACCCTGGCCACACTCACCGGCCCTGCTGGAATGTGACGACGTCTGCCAGGCTGAGCTGGCAGTGCGGCCAGGACCGGTCCAGTGCCAGGCTGGGGAATCACTCCAGCCTCTCGGGAATGGCGTGATTAGCCAGGTCAGGGTCTGGTCCCGCCCTGGACAGACTCCCTCAGGACCCACTTGCCTGGAGATACGATGACCATACGTCCCCATTTGGCCAGGACAGTTCCCTTTTTAAGCTCTGTCCTGGCCATCCTGACACTTTTGACAAAAAAGGGCATTTAGTTGGCAGTTGATCAGTTGGCAAGAGCAAATGAACAAACGGCCAGTTTACCAAAAAAGTCCGGTGCGCCCCCCCTAGGAGGACATGGCAGAACGTGGTGGGGGGGGCCAAGGTGAGGTGTCAGACAGCCGGGCTTGGGGGGTCAGCCCCAGCTGCAGGTAGAATAGAGCTTGGGGCGGGAGTTAGGGGCCAGCCCCTGGCAGTGGTGTGGGGAGCTGGGGCGAGGGAGGGGTCAGCCCCTGTCCTGACACCAGCATGAGGAGCTCGGGGGGGGGTCAGCCCCTGGCTGTGGCGTGGGGAGCTGTGGGGGAGGGGTCAGCCCCAGTGGCGGATTTAGAGTTAGTGGGGACCTGTGCTCAGCTTCATTTTTGGGGCCCCTCCTTGGGACCCAGCCAAGAAAAAGAACATTCTCTCATCTTCTCTCCCCACCCCCATTTTTCATTCTTCTTTTCTGCATCTTCATCCTATAAGTAATAGCAAGTAAATGGAAAATAAAGTGAGGTACCTTGATTGTTCTTGTAGTCTAACTTACTTTTCCACAGACCCCTTGAAAATCGCTGAGAGTCTCGGCGGACACTTAATGATCTTTCCAAATATTGTTTGTACCATTAGCTAACTACAGTAAAGCACTTTGGATAAGAGCGCTTTATAAAAAAAAATGTAAAAAGTTGGGGTGCGGGGTCTGGCCAGGACTTAGGGTGTGGGAGGGGGTTCAGGGCTGGGGGTGCAGGGTCTGGAAGGGAGTCGGGGTGCAGGAGCAGGCTGGGGGTTGGGGTACAGGGTCTGGCCAGGAGTTAAGATGCAGGAAGGGGCTCAGGGTTGGGGCAGGGGGTTGGGGTGTGGAGCTCTTACTTGAGGCAGCTCCTGTTTGGTGCAAGGGGTGCAGGACTCCCGTTTGGCACTCAAGGTGGGGGTGGGGGGGTGCAGGAGTCAGGGCATGAGGTGTGGGGGGCTGGGTATGTAGGGGTTGCAGGAGTCAGGGCAGGGGGCTAGGGGTTGGGGTGCTCCCAGCCCCCTGCCCTGAGTGGCTCATGGCAGGGAGCTTGGGGGGGGGGGTATGTGTAGGGGGAGTGCAGGGGCCACGCCTTTGCTCCGCCCTGACCCGATTCCACCCCCTTCCCCAAGGCCCCGCCTCCACCTCCTCCCCTGAGCTCGCTGCATCCCTGCTCGTCCCCCTCCCTCCTGGAGCGCCGGCAAACAGCTGTTCAGCGGCGGGGGGAGGGGCAGGAACAAGACATGCTCGGGGGAGGAGGCGGGAGAGAGAGAAGCTTGGCTGCCAGTGGGTGCGGGCAGAGCCTGCCTTGCAGCAAGAGCCCCTGGAGCCGGCAGGACCAAGCTTCTGCCCCCGCAGCTGCCCGGCCCTGGGGCCCCCTGCCGTTGCGGGGCCCCATGCCAAGGTATCTGCGCTTTACTGTAAATCTGCCTCTGTCCAGCCCCAGCCCCTGGCCACGACATGGGGAGCTCAGGGAGGGTCATCCCCTGGTAGTGAGGAGCTGGGGGCGGTTAGCAGCCCCATCCAGGCAGCCCGGGGCTCCAGCTCTCTCAACCCCAGCTGCGGCCCAAGCAGAGCAGGGCGAGCTGGCTGGGGCCCCTTTGGAGCCTGGGTCCAGCACCATGGCGCCATTGTAAACCCGGTACTGGTCAGTATTTCCCGACTACCAAGTGAAGTGTGGCCATCTATGGTACTGGAAGAGCCAGGGGCTGTAGAGGGAGAACAGGTGAGGGCATTATGGGTTGGCCTGATTTCCGCTCCCCCCTCTTTCTCTCATTTCACAGGCAATTCCCCCTCTGATGAGTCTGAGGAGCGAGAGCGGGACCCCAAAGTTCTCACCTTCCCCGAATACGTCGCCAGCCTGTCCGAGTCGGGCACCAAGCGGATGGCAGCTGGGGTCCGCATGGAGTGCCAGAGCAGAGGCCGCTGCCCTTCCTCATGCCCGCTCTGCCATGTGACTTCGAGCCCGGACGTGCCGGCCGAGCCAATTCTGCTGGAGGTCACCAAAGCAGCGCCCATCTATGAGCTGGTCACCCACAACCAAACCCAGAGGGTGAGGAGCCGGTTGCTGAGAGAGGTGTAGAATATGGCAGGCTGGTGATTGGCTGAGCTGAGGTTATTAGCAGTGAATGGCTTTGGCGGGCCTGGAATGACAGCCAGCCCTCACGTGGTGTGGCCGGCTGGCAGTACAGCCACGTGCCCACTGGCCTTTCCACCTCTTCTTCTTGAGCCAGCCTGGTGTTTGCCACGTGGCGCATGTGGCGAGTGGTGAGGAACAGCCAGAGAGCGTCCCAGAGACAGGCATCTCCCTTTGCAGGGCTGGGTGAGGTCACCATAGTGACCAGGCACTTGGCACGCTGCCATCTAGCTTATCAGGTCAGAGCACCAGCCACCATTCAGCATGCGCGGGAGTAAACAGACCCAGGCCTGGCTCAGCAATTGCCACTTGAAACCAGTTGCAGATGGGTGAAGGCTGAACACGTCTGCCCCGCCCCGTGAACGGCCCCCACCCTCTTTGACGTCTCTCTGTGTCCCCTCTTCGCTAGGAGGTCTCCAAGCTCCCAGCTGTGGCAGTGCGCTCAGGGCTGTGTGGGGAGAGGCATGCACAGAAAGTTACAGGTTTTCAGATGCCAGTGGCACAGCGGATGATGAGGGTTCACCCAGTGGCACAGCGGGTGATGAGCATTCATGCTTGCCGCGCCTTAACCCTCCTTCTCTATCTCAGCTGTTGCAGGAGGCCACCATGAGCACCCTGTGGTGTTCCGGGAGTGGGGATGTCATCGAAGACTGGTGCCGGTGCGACTCGAGTGCTTTTGGTGCTGACGGGCTCCCGGCCTGCGCGCCCCTCCCACACCCAGTGTACGTCTCTCCCACGCTGATTTTGCCTCTCCTTCGCAGAGATTATTTCTCTTGAAGGGAACTTTGGTGCTGGTGCAAGGTGCCGGAGCCAGAGGCCCAGAACCAGCGTGAAGCTGGAAGTTGGGGTGGCAGCAGCAGCTCGAGCTTCTCCCGCTCCACTCTGTGGAAGGTCTTGATCCCTGACCCCGACGGGTGACCTCCTGGCGTGGCGGGGGAGTTGAGTATGGCAGAAAGGTTTCAGCAGCACTCGCTTAAAAACAGCTGCCTTCCTCAGGCAGGGCTGGGCGGTCTCAGAAATCAGCGGGATGTCTGCACAAAGGAAAACTACACCAGGCTTGACTGGTGCTGCAGTTTTCCTACATTAAACTAGTGTTTGGGGGGGACGGGACCCCAGTGCGCAAGATGGGCTGGATGAGGAGGGGAAGCAGCTGGCTTTGTGCTCTGTACACTGGCTAATCTGGGCTGCAGGCAGCCATGCAAGGCTGTCACCAATCACCTTTGCCCCCTACCCTACAGATCATGTCTTCACAGCCCTGCCTCCTGGGAGGCACAGGGCATAACCCAGCCTGTGACGTGTGGCTGCAGAGGACAGTGAGTCTCCAGTAGCTCAGAGGGAGCAACAGGTGGAGCCAGCCCCACACTGAAGAGGGTTGGGAAGAAAAGAATGGTGCCATTAGAGCGGGCAGGAGCTGCCTATTCACAGGGCCTGACCCACCCTGGTTTTCCCTCTTCCTCAGGCTGCAGCTCTCCACCATGCACGAGCCCAGCAGCACCTTGGTGGTGATGGAATGGGAGCACTCAGAGCCGCCAATCGGAGTGCAGATCGTCGATTACCTCATCCGTCAGGAGAAGATCACCGACCGGATGGATCATTCCAAAGTGGAGACCGGTGAGGGCAGTGACAGAAGGCGCTGTTCCTCCAGCAGCCCGAACTGGGCTTTGCTCGGGCTCCTCCTTTGCTCTGGGGGTGGGGTGGCACCAGCAGCCAGTAGAGTTAATTTCCGGAAGGATGAGGAACGCCCTCATCGCAGCTCTGCCTTTTGCAGCATTGGCTTGTTAGCAAAGGCTGAAATCAAGAGCAGAGCGCTTTCAGTGGGGAGGGTGGGCCCCAATCCAGCAAAGTACTGAAGCCCTGGCTTAACTTTAAGCCCACGCTTAAATACTTGGCTGGATTGGGGTCATAACTGTCTGTTTTCACTTACTGGCGGCATTCCAAAATCTGTCTCTTCTTGGTCTGAAAGCCTGCACCCGAAATACCTCCCCAAGTTTACTTCTGAATTCCCCGTATCTGTTTTCATCCTGAAACCCTGTGCCTCTGCTGAGGAGAGGAGACTTCATTCCCTCGACCTCAGATGTGCCTTAGCGTTCTACCTGCAGAGAACCTAATCGATCAGAAAATCACCTAGGTTATTTGTTGCCATAGTACAAATGTCACTAGGATGAGCTATCTCCTCTCGGGGAATCTCTAAATGGATTCCTTGGTGCACCGTAGTGTGCTACCCCAGTTCGCACATATCACTCCACCAGAGCACACGCTGCCTCTACAGCCTCCTTGCAGGAAGGACCATTACTGGACACATGCAGAGCGGCAGACTGGAGTTCCAGTCGGACATTCCCAAAACAGAACACACCAGTTCGGGCCTCTGCTGCGGATGCAGCCGTGGGAACTGCAGTGCTTCAACACATCTGTCTTGCCAGCATCCTTGCACCCTCCTGACAGATTACACTTGCCCACCGCCCACACGTGGGATACACATAGGGATCAGCACTCGAAGAAGAAGTGGAGATTACTTAGCCGTAACTGGAGGTTCTTTGAAATGTGTGGTCCCTGTCTGTATTCCACTGCCTGCCCTCCTTCCTCTCTGCTTCCGATCCTACTGGATTCGTGGTAAGAAAAGGAACCTGCATTGCCTCTTATTCCCTCGGTCTGGGGGACGAGGAGAACTGTGCGGGCCAACGGACACCGCTTGTTAGCATTTCCAGCCTCGGGTGCAAGGCATGCATCCCCACCCACGTGTGGAATACAGACAGGGACCACCACGCATCCGGTTATAGGCAGGTAACCTTCATTCACAATCACACCAGTCTCCATCCTCACTTCTTACGCTGGAGACTCAGTGATTGTGAGGCTATTTGTATTTCTCTGTCTGCAACAGGGACACTAAGGCTTTTCCTTACCTGAAAAAGCTCCATAGAACTTCCACTTGCCCCCTAGCAGAGAGGTCACCAGCCTAAGAGCCTTGATCATGTGCTGCAGCTTGGGGTCAAGGCAGGACAAAAGAGCAACATAAACATTTTTCCTACCCTTCCCACCAGTGCATTTTCTCCCCTTCCATAGCTCCCAACTGGCTAATGTCACACCGGAGGCAGTGCACAATGCACCAGTCCAAATCACGAATAGCCCTGTTACAAGGTCCTTTCCTCATTGCTCCTGACCCTCCAGGAAATTTCTGATCCATCACTAGGTACTGGGCTTGCTTGGTCGGTCTTGTGACCCATTGTAGCCTCTCCTCACCCATCGTCCCCTGCTCAGGTTCTGGGGCATGGGAAGATAATTGCCTAAAATCTCCTTTTTCCCCTCTTTCCCTAGAGACTGTGCTGAGTTTGGTGGATGACATAATCTCCGGAGCCAAATCCCCCTGCGCGATGCCGGCACAAGTACCCGACAAGCTGTCCACCACCATCTCCTTGGTCATTCGCTGCCTGGAGCCTGACACCACCTACACGTGAGTGACGCTGCCTCTAATTGGCTACGCCCAACCTTGTGAGAAGCACTGCCACTTCTGATTGGCTACTCCTCATCTTTTTTTGGGGGGGGGAGCATGGAGAAAGGGAGCGTTCATTCTCCATCCCCTTGCATGGCAAGCACCCCCCTCCCAATTGTTTCATGCTGGATGTGCTTCTGGAACTATGCACAAATATTAAATCATCATCACCACCTTGTTGGCTAAGCTTGCCATCGTCAAGCTTGCCAAGCTTGTTGGCTAAGCTTGCATTCAAGAGTTATCGTCGGTGACACGATAACTCTTGAATGCCGCATTTGATCAAAACCAGGAAATGTTTGAGAGCTCAAGGGCCAGAACTCTATTGATTTTGGGGAAAATGGGGAAACCAAAATGGGGACAAACGGATGGAGCCCCATCAGCTGTTCAGCACAGCCACAGCTTCATGCACCTCTGCAGTTGTCTGAAGACCAAAGACCTGTTTGATGGCACCTGTTAATGTCTCCAGCCTAATGATACCCCACCTCATCTGTGCTTACCTCCCACTAGGATTTAACATGCTTACACCCTGAATGATTGCTCTCCTAGACAGAAGGAATAATGGTGGAAGGAGGGCATGCGGGAGAAGAGAGAACACAGCCCCTCGCATAGGGGAAGGGGCAGACAAAGCCCCCTGGCACACGGGGGTGGGGGAGATTGGAGTGATTAAGGATGTGGGGCATGCAGAACAGCTAGCATGGTCAGAGGAAGAATGGGGAACCCTGGTTTGGGAGGAGGTAATGAGGGGCACCCAGAGCCCCATGGTTGAGGGAGTCTCTGAAATAGATTGGGGTGGAGGGTGGCCCACAGAGAGGTTGTGAGCGTCAAGGAGCCCCTGGTGTACACCAGGAGCTGGGCCTACACAGGCTGCGAATGGTGCATCCCCCTCATTTTTTTAACCCCCAGGGATGTCAGTGTGTGTGGGGGAGGGGGGGGGAATCTGGGCACAGCAGCATGTGGGTATCCCCCTCACCTGCCCCGGAGGGTTATTTCCCATTTGCAGTCGTGACCCAGCTGCTGATGGCAACGCTGTGCTCCGTAGATTCAGAGATGGGAAGCCCAGCAGCAGCCACACCGAGCATGTGTGACGGTGCTGGAAAGATCCTGAACTCCCGCCCTTCTTACACCTGCTTGGTGGTCTTGTCCAGCCTCACCTTCTGCCAGGCCTACAGTATGACTCTCACTGGCCGCCTGAACTGATGCCTGACTTACCTACAGCTCCACTCCCAGAGCCGGAGGGGCAGGCGGGCGTGCTGCCCTGGCTGCAGTGGAGGAGGCTCATGATGCGGTCGCACCAAGGCGGCTGCTGTTCTGTTCCTTCCTTATCACCTTCTCCAAGGCTGGGCCCAGGGTGGAGTTTACGCACAGTGAGCACCTCAGATGGCATCAGGATGGAGACAGCAGGCTCTTCATCTGTTAGCTGGCTCTTCCCTGCTGCTGGCCAGGGCTCTGCTCCGCATCATGTGCCAGGGCTCTTGTGAATTGGCAGGGCTGTCAGTGCCCCAAGTGCCAGCCCCAGCAGAGAGCTGCCTGCACTAGGCTGAGGTCACTGTGCTGTAAAGGGGATGCCAAGCCTCTTGTATTGAGTTCTCACCTCCCACTGGGTCTGCATGGAAAAGCAGCGCAGGCCAGTTTGGGGCACCTGTGTCAAGCAGAGCGAAGTGACATGCATGGTAGGACAGCCCCATATCTCCTAGGCAGTTAGTTGCATACGTTCCTCCTGATGGGGGTCTGCCGTGTGCACCTGTGTGTGTGAGCTCTGGATTCCCCAGTCTGTCTGCTGTCTCTGTGCTGTGATAACATCTCCCCTCTCCCCCAGGTTCACGCTTTGGGGAGTTGATAACACAGGGAGACGCTCCAGGTCAAGTGATGTGACGGTCAAGACCCCCTGCCCAGTGGTAGATGACGTGAAGGCTCAAGGTAACCATGGGGGTGCTTAAGGTGGGGTGCTGCCTTCTCCCCGGCAAAGCCTTTGTCTGGCATGCTGGACTTCACTGCAGTGGATTGTCAGACCATGGTTAAGCAGAACATTAGAGCAGGTAAACCCCCATTCTTTTTTTGTTGGGCTAGTTGAAGAGATACGCCCAAGCCAAACCTTAAGCGTGAACGGCCCTGAAATTGGGTGGAATCCAGACCCCAGTTGCTTTTGGCATCTCTGTAACAGGCACACCTGAATCTCCAGAACTGAACACTCTCATAAACACTGGTGGTGTTTGGATCTGGGGCGAAGCTTCCCAGATCCAGCCCATCCCTAGTTATCTGTCTGGTTCAGGCTGCAAGACCCTTGGGGTAGGAACTTTGGCCCAGATCCTCAATGGGAACTAGGCACCTAAACATCTCTGAGCTTGTGGGCCTTTGTCGTCATCTTTGTCCATACCTACCTACAGCACTGCATTAATAAATAATGGCAATAAAGCGTGACGAGAACGAAGCACCATCTTGGGGCTCCATGTGTCGGACCTCAAGGGTTAAGGGGACTTTGGAGGCTCTTGATGGAATTATTGCCAGAGGATGCATGGCTGTTTCTCTGTTGATTATACTGGAACAGAACCTTGTTAGAGGCAGTGGGAATCGGGTCAATACAACTAGATTGTGCAGGTGGAATGAGTGTGTTTGTTTAAAAGTAACATCTCATTCCACTTGGGTGGGAGGTAATAGGAAGCATTGTTCTGAGTGTGGGTTGGGGTGACTGGTGATGGGGTGACAGCCCTACTCTTCTGAATAAACTAGTTAAGATCCCATTCAGCAGTAATCAAGTGGTTCCCACATGATGGCTGTCAGTTAGGTGGCCTCTCCCAGGGATCAGATCTTGGTCCTGTTCCCATTATTACAGCAATAATTTGCTGTCCCGATAGACAGCATCTTCCATTTGCGGTTCTCAGAGCGTGGTCTCTCTCCCAAAAACCGAGCACCAGAGCCAGCAGTAATTGGAAGCCTGATTCACTAGAGCAGGGGTGGGCAAACTTTTTGGGCCGAGGGCCACATCTGGGTGGGGAAATTGTATGCAGGGCCAGGGCAGGGGGTTGGGGTGTGGGAGGAAGTGTGGGGTGTGGGAGGGGGTGCGGTGTTCAGGAATGGGCTCGGGGCAAGGGATTGGTGCAGAGGAGGGGTGCGGGGTGTATGAGGGGGCTCAGGGAAGGGGGTTGGGGTGCAGGAAGGGTGTGGCAGGGAGCTCAGAGCAGGAGGTTGGGGTGCACAGGGGTGCGGGGTGCAGCAGGGGGCTCAGGGCAGGGAGCTGGGGTGCAGGAGGGGTGCAAGGTGCAGGCAGGGAATTGCGGGGTGGGGTGCAGGAGGAGTTCGGGCTCTGGCCCGGCGCCACTTACCTAAAGCGGCTCCAGGGTGGTAGCGGCGCGCACTGGGGCCGGGGCAGGCTCCCTGCATCCCTGCTCCCATGCCACGCCCCTCCGGAAGCAGCCAAAACCATGTCCTTGCATGGCTCCTGGGGGAGGTGGGGCACAAGGCTCTGTGTGCTGCCCTTGCCACGCCTCCAGGTACCTCCCCCGAAGCTCCCATTGGCCGCGGTTCCCCATTCCCAGCCAATGGGAGCTGCGGGGGGTGGTGCCTGGAGGCAAGGGGAATGCACGGAGCTCTCTGCCCCCAGGGATGTGGTGCCGGCCGTTTCTCAGAGCGCTGCGGAGCCTGCGGCACCATGGGGGGCAATCCCGCAGACCGGATCCAAACCCCTTATGTGCTGGATCCGGCCCACGGGCCGTAGTTTGCCCACCCCTGCACTAGAAAGACCAGGGTGTGAACAATTGCAGGAACTGTGGCTGGAGTCCCTCCAGGTTAGGATTGAGGCCAGTGGGAGGGTGAGTGGATGGAAACTTGCCTTCCCATTGGTTGTTCTGGCAGATGGTGAAGTGTTAGAAAAGTCCCCAAAGGGTTGGACATGTCTGTGGCTAGTACAGAAAAATACAGAGTCCATGAGCTTTGACAGGAATAGAAACCCTCCTGTTTCAGGGCATAAGCCAGCCTGAGTGATGGGGGTTAGGAGGCATTTTCACCTGGGCGCAGGTTATCTCATAACTGCCTGTTGTAGGGTTCCTTGCACCTTCCTCTACAGCAGCTGGTATTGGCCACTGTCAGAGGCATGCCACTGGACTAGAGGGACCAGTCTGGGAAATCCTGTGTATTCCACTGTCCCTCCTTTTAGAATATGTCCTGGTGACAGAGTAAATTCCAGGACACCTGGGGGGAAATCCTGGCCTTATTGAAGTCAGTAAGAGTTTGCTCTGGACTCCAGTGGGTCCAGAATTTTGCCCCAGGGCTCTTTACTTGATATCTGACCTGGTTTGAGGCTACATTTCCTTTCTCTCTGACAAACGCACTTACAGCCCTCTCTGTCATCCTACCCAGAAATAGCAGACAAGATCTACAATCTCTTCAATGGCTACACCAGCGGCAAGGAGCAGCAGACAGCCTACAACACTCTGCTGGACCTGGGCTCGCCCAGCCTGCACCGGGTCCTCTTCCACTACAACCAGCACTATGAGAACTTCGGGGAGTTCACTTGGCGGTGTGAAGATGAATTAGGACCCAGGTAAGCCTAATAGCCATGCCTGCTAGCGTAGCAGCTCTGCCTGACCAACACACCCCTGAGACATAGCTACCGTTAGAAAGGTTAGATATGGCAGATTGTATTACTGTGGCACATATAGGCCAAAAATGAGATCCAGGCCTCACTGCAGTTACAAACTGCACTGCTGCTGTGCCCCAGGGAGGACTTGGGCACATGGCATCTGTACTGCCACAACTTCCCAGGAAGGACAGCTTCAGACTGGGTCTTGGGCTGGATAGGATGTGGTTGTCAAAGATAAAGAAACAGAGGGTGAGGTCCACTATCCCAGCCCTCCCTGGCCAACTGGACCCTTGTTGATGTGACTTCCTGAGACTGGAGAAGAAGGAAGATCAATAAAAAACCCATGAGAAGAGGGGCTTTTAGGCACCATAGAGTCCAATCCTTGAGTCTACTGAGTTCAGGAGATTACATTTGGGTGAATGATTCTCCGAGAAAGGGGACAGTGCAGGGATGGACCGGACCCCTTCTATCCCACGACGAACGCCAGCTAGAGCTCAGAGACCAGAACCCTGGGGTCAGGGTGAATGCAAGGCTGTTTCCATAGACCCTTAACTTCCTTTCTCTGTGCCCCCACCTGGGTACTCTGAATTGTAGCTCCAAGTATTCACAACGCATCCCCTTACTACCCAGCCCTCACCCTTTCACTGGCCATCTGTGAATCTGCTTGTGGGCACCTTGTCCCATGGCAACCGTTCACCTGTTGAGGCATCCTGCATGCTGGGTGAGAGCAGCAGAAGACTGTATAGCCCCGGGCTGAAGCTGGCTCAGTGTCTTCCCGCATATACTTTGGCAGGGTGATTTCCCAGCCTGCATCTGCAGGCAGCTTGAAGCAGGGGAAGGGGATAGCTCAGACAGGAGGCCATGGGACTAAGAGCTTTTCACCTTCAGGCACAACCGTGGAATGGGTGAACTAGTGCTCAGAACCCAACCAAAATCAGGGTGGCTTTAAATCCCATACAAACCCACAACCACCAGCCCTGGTCTAGGAGATGCAGGTGGGCCTGGGAACCACAGCGCTCACACAGCCACCTTCTCCCTCACCCCAAGCTCCAGCTCCACCCTCCCCCACATCTTACCTTCAAGTGGGACTGGGGCTTGCATCTGCCGGGCTTCAGGGGGTATCGGCTTGGCCCACTGCCTCCCCCGGGCCTGGGAAGCTTTTCTCATCCCCTCATCCCCAGTTGCCAGGGGGCACTGAGTGGTCCCTCCCTGTCCTTGTGTGGCGCTCCAGCAGATTCCCAGGGAGGGCCTCTGCCTCCTGTATCTTCAGCACATCTCCTGGTCAGGACAGAATGGCCCAGAGCTCACAGACAGACACAGCACCAAGAAGCTGGGAAAGGGTCTCCGTCCTGCTGCAAAAGCTGTGCGACTTGGCAGGGGCAGACAGCACGCAGTCATCCCTATGGTTGCATTCAAATATTAGTGGGTGTCTCCTCTTGTGTACGGTTGCTAGGGAACCTCCAAGGCCACCTTAACTCCCCAATGCTAAAAAGACTATTAAGTCTTCCTTACCCCGGATGATCATTGGGGCTGCTTCCTCTCTGTGCTTGCCAAGTGTGTGGGGTCTGAGCCATTCTGGCGACACTAGAAAAGATTCAAAGACATCCCCTCCCACCTGGCAGCTCCCCCAAAGCTGTATGGGGGGAAGATAGCTACTAAGGGCCACCCCAAGGCATTTAAAAGTGTGGCATGGGGTTCCCAAGGCCTGGGCAGGGGGTGGGGAGGCTGAGTGGTTAGGTGTTCTGGGCGGGGGCTGCGGCTTCTTTTCAAGGTCCAGGTTCTTGTAGAAGTGGGCGTTCCAAGAGGTAGGTACGTTGCCATCTCTGGGCGTGGGCCCTGCTTGGGGAGGGCTGGTATTTTACATACACATACTGACCCTTGCAGGTTTCATGCTGCTCTTCCTCTGTCTTCTTTCTTGAAACTGAGCACCAGGAGGTAGAGATCAAACATTGTTCCCCTCCAGTGGTGGCTTCTGTGAGGGCAGCCGATTGCTGGGAACTCAACTAACCCCAGACAGGTGACCTCGTCACAGAGCCAGTACCAGAACTGGTCCTGATTATCCTCTCCCTGGGCACTCTCAGCAGAGGGACCAAGGGCTGACTGCAACGTGGAGAGGGGAACTCCCCTGTCGACCCTTTCGGTCATGGGGGAGGTAAACCGGCACGGTGTGGTGCACAGTATATGGGGGAAGTTCAGTCTCCAAGGCTGGCAGTGATCAGCACTGAATCCACTGAACCTTTTGGTTGGTTTGAATTTCAAAGAGGAGAGGGCGACAATGCAGGCAGCTTAACGTCATCCCTTGGAAATGTTTGAGCATTTGACTTGAAATGACACAATTTCTGATGAAGTGTTTGCAGCTCGTGCTGTTGGAAAGGAATGCTGAGGCAGCTGCCGAGGTCTCTGGTGGTGACAGAGCTCAGAAGCCGGACCTGTTGGTGAAGCATGCAGGCTGGTGGGGACAGGAGAAATCATTTGCAGATGATGTCATTTAGCCAGCAGAGTGTTCATTTGACTTCTCTCTGGTACTTCTTGGGTGTCCTGGATACAAACCCAGGCCAACTGGACTCTTGGGTGAGCTGTCAGGAGTCGGCACCTTCCATCCTGCTATGCTGTTCCTGGGTATGCTTTGTCAGAATGCGCTTGTGTCACTTCTCGGCAACGCTGGTTTGTAAGCAAGAGGTTTGGGGCTAGAACTGTGGCCATTCCCTCCTGCCCTGTGAAGGCGCGCAGAGTGCAGTTAGCCAACCACCTGCTCAAGAGAAGAGCCAGCACGGAGGGACAGGTTGCCTCCCAGCAGACCAACGGTGGGTGTTAGTGCCTGGAAAGCCCACTGAAGTTAATGGGAGTCTCTCAACTTCTGTAGGCTTTGGATCTGGGCCTTAGTGACTCCGGGCCTCATGCTGTATGGTGCTCAGCCTGCTGGGGAGTGCTGAGCTCTTGCATTGCTAGCCAAGTGCTCATCGCCTCCCAGGAGGCATCACCTTGCTAGTCTGGGCCTGTCACCTCAAGGTAGCTGCCTCAAAACCACCCATGTCAGTAGCAACAATCTGAAGCCTGCAAGGAGCGAATGGTGGGACATTCTGCCACCTTGCAAGGGAGAGCACCATGGTGGGCCAGCCTTGATTCCACCTTGCTCTTAGCCTGCCAGGGATAGTAGTTGGCAGCTCTGGAATGGAGACGGCTGGCTGTCCTGGTTCACTGACCTCTGCCCTCTCCGTGGCGAGTGGGAGATCCTGGCGCACACCTACCTGCAGTGCACCAGGTTGCAGCTCCTCTTCTGGTTCCTCCACAGCCTCCTGCCTTGGTTCTGGCTGCACTTTTCCTCCTTTGGGTGGTGACCGCAGCTCCTTGGACTTCTTTGTGGTGCAGTGGGTGCTGTCCTGTGTTCTCTGCTCACTGTCCCCATCCAGAGCCCTCGAACTAAACTTTTGATCTCCACTCCCAGCTTACCGTGTGTTGTCCTACAGACTCAGTTGTTTTCTGGGCTCTGGGGCCCCTCCCTCGTTTGAGCAGGGTGGGCCTCTAGTCCTACATGAGTTTAGCCCCCACCCTCAGAGAAAGAAAAGATGCGAGTGACTAGGGGGCTGAGATGGGGACAGAAGCATGGTGGCTGGGTGTGGGGTTGGTGCCAGCTTTGCTTTTCATCCTCAGCATTGAGGCTGGTCCGTGCTGCCCCCTTCGGCAGGGAGACATTGCATTCAGGTGGCATGGAGATTAAGGGTGACCAAGTGACTTTATCTGCCACAGGACTGTTATCCTCGTTCTCCTGGGCCTTTTCGTGGTCTGTTTAACCTTCCTTGTGTCTCTCTTTTTACACTTTCTCTCCCTTTCCCACCCCCATCTTACCTCTTGTCCCACCATGTCTCTGGCTTCTCCTCTCCCCCGTCTGCAGGAAGGCCGGCCTCATTCTCTCCCAGCTTGGGGACCTCAGCAGCTGGTGCAACAGCCTCCTTCAGGAGCCCAAGATCAGCCTCCAGCGCACGTCACTCAGGTATCTCGCCTGCCGCTACAGCGAGATCAAGCCGTACGGACTTAACTGGTCAGAGCTGAGCCGGGACCTCAAGAAGACATGTGAAGAGCAAGCGCTAAGCGTCCTCTATAATGACTATGGAGACAAAGACAACTGAGGGGTTGAGGAACCACTCTCAGGCCCCTAAGAGGCAAGTGGGAGAAAAGCGCATTTGTGGGAGTTTTGTAAATGGATCTGCAGGAGGTCACTGAAATCTCCCAAGACAAAACTTAAACCAGGGAGGGAAACTATTGCTCTTTGCAGGACTTACCTGGTATTAGACTCTTCAACACAGCCAATAGCCTTTCTAGTTGGAGGTCTTGTGAGACCCAGTTTTTGTTTGTTTTGCTCATTTTACCAAGAGGTTCCTTGGACTGGGTAGGTGAACACATACTCCAGAATGAAAGATACACTTTTAAGGTTCCAGCCCACGACTCCCACCCACATTCCCCATGCAGCGTGAACCTCAGTTTCCAAAGAGAAAAAAATCAGAACAACAGAAGCCAGGCAGGGAGAGGAATCTCCTCTTTAGAATTAATAGACCCAGCCTCTCAAATAACATCAGGTCTGGGAAAGCAGAAAGAGGGCATGAGCGTCCAATTTTGCTCTTCCCCATAAGGATCCAGCTCTGAGATTAGATCTGATAACAAAAAAATGGCTGTGGTTGTAAAGGACAAGCTCTGGACTGCAGCAGCAATAATCTTCGAACCATCTGAGGGTAGGGAGGGCTTTCGCACCCTCCCCCTGCCCCCTTCATTCCTTGCTCATTCTCTAGAGTCCCTGATCTTGGCTCTGTGCTGGGATCCTGCAAGGTCCTTCCAGTTTGTAGTCAGCCCCAAATGGCATGTGGGGGTGGTCACTGAGGTTAACAGGGCAGTAGCAATGTACTTTTCCCTGGACTGCATTTGTGCCCTTTTTTGCCACAATAACAGCTGCTAAGCAGTGATGAGTTTGGGCAGAGCTCTGGCTAAAATGTAGATGCTTGGGGAGCATTTACCCTGGCACCAAACCTCAGCCCATGGCACAGTATCAGCTTCAAAGGTGCCACCCAGCGTGACCAGTAGGATGTGGGGAAGGGAGGGTGAGAGGAACTGTGGGATTGTTTTCACTTTGCAGCAGGGGTGGTCTCCTTATCTTCAGATCCCTCTCCACTTAGCGGAAAGTGAAACTCCACCCCGAGTGTGGAATGCATTGCAGGGTGGGGCGGGGAGGAGCCAAGAACACACACCTAGGAGCAGACAGCTACCTACTGAAGAGATGCAGTCTAACCCTTGGGAAATCCCTTCTAAAAACCTGATTTTTGGCTTATTCTTTCATGAAAGGTGAAGCATTTGAAAAGTGATGTCAGTAGAGCACCTGGGATGAATCTGGCTCTTTTAAGAGCGCCTCCCACCCACACCCCCAGAATAGGGCTGATCTTACCTTGTTTGATTGCTCTTTCTTGCCACAGTTCGTTGAGGTTACTGCAGCATGAGGCATAGGTGCTGACTCTGTGGGTGTTCAGCACCCACCAGCCACAGCTGTTCCCTGCCCCTGCTCAACAGCTGATGGAGGGCGGCTCGAGAAGGGGCTTGGGTGAGGGTGGAGAGTGGTGGGGGGTAGGAAGAGGCAGCGTGCAGGTGGGGCCTTGGGGTAAGGGGTGGAGTGGGGGTGTGGCCTCGGGGCAAAGCGGGGGTGGAGCACTCCCAGGGAAAAGGAAAAGAAGGCACCTGTGGCACGAGGGGCAAACCCCTGAGGGGACTGACATAAGTCCTGTGTTTGTACAAGAATTCACGCCATGGCAGCAAGGATCTTCACCTCTACTTCACTGTTTTAAACTCCCATTAGCACTAGGGAGATGGGGCTTAGTTCAGTTCCAGTTCAGTGGCAGACAGCATCTTTATTACCAGTGATGATCAGAGAGGGAGAAAGACTCTCCAGTCCCGGAGTGAGGCTACAGAGGTGGCAGGTAGAGAAACATTCTTTGACTTTGCCAGCTGAGAACTTTTGATTTGGAACAACTGTGAGATGAACATGGGGGCCCCATGATGGAATATTTATAGCAGCTTTCAAAGTAGAATCTCCTTTTAATATTTTAGTGCTGGCAGAAGCCATCTGAACCTACACATTATGCTTTCCTGCCACCCTTCTTTTCGCCCACTAAGTGCCAAGGACACAAATCTGTTTGTTTTGTATCTAGTGTGGAGTTAAAGAGCTCTACCCACAGCCAACAGCGTTACCTAACAGTATTTGCATATCAGCAACCACCATGCCCGGAGAATTTTGCACATTAGATATGTCAGCTCTTTGCACCTTTTTCAGACAGGCAGATGCAAGATAAAACTCCCTCTGGCATGACAGTAGCATTATAACGTATTGCCAGTTGTGTGGACAAACTTGACCTCAGGAGAGCTGACTTAGATTGGTGAGTTGAGAAGAGCACCCAGTACCATAGTTAGACCATTACCTGGAAGAGTAACAATTAGGTACTAAATGCAGCCAACGAGCAGCTCCATGCAAAAGAAAGTCTGCTATATGCAACAAAGCAGTGGAATCCATACGGATGCCAGATAGCACTTTTTATGCTCTCTGTCATAAAGGTCTTATACCCTTCTGCCCCCAACAGTAGACACTCATTGGTGCTTTAAATGCCTCGCATGATGCTCTTGCCCAGATGGGGAAACGGGAAAGAGATTTTAGCAGCTCCAAGGTGGCTTATGCCCCAGACCTGAGGGCTGATTTCTCTTCTAAAATCATCTCCACTTGCAGAGTCCCAGGTGTTATAAAAACACTTGAACTAACCTTGGCCCGTATCGCACTCATGTTTAGTTATTTGTCTCCCTACCCCTCAGGGCCAATGCATCCCTCTGAAGCCACTTTACAAAGCAAGGATAAGCTAGCTGCCAGGAAGCTAACCTTGAAGCACTCATTGGTACGCTTGGCTATAATTCATACACAGCCCTGGATATTTAAGCTGGGTTCAGTGAGGTGGAATCTGGGCCAAGACACCTGGGTTTATCTTACTCTTTTCAGCAAATGCCAGGACAGCTTTGGATTTCACATGGGCAGCCCCCGGGGGATGGGCAAAAGAGACGTTAGCTTGATATCTTCTCTGAAGGACCCTTAAACACATATGTCTTTGGCCCAGAAGTGAGTTTGTTGCTCACCAAGCAGTACTGCATATGTGGCATTTTTATGAGAGAGAGGCTTTTCCTCTCTATAGCAGCCTCATCCCCCCTTCTGTCACTTCCCAGATGCACAGTGTAGGAGGCAGGGTTGGTCAGCCTAGAGAGTGGGATTCTGCCAAGAAACCCCTGCATCTGCCAGACACTGGGCACTCACACCTGCCGAGGTAACTGATTTGTCCCACCCGTGACTTGTGTCTGGGCTTCACAGCCATTTCCAGATTGCTTCTGCTCTTCGCATTTTGAACTACTTGCATCACAGAGCCTCCCCCCCCCCCCCAGGCAGCCCTGCCTTCCCAAGAAGCCCCTGTCTTATCACAGTGACTACACATGGCAATGCCTTAATTGGTTATCCAGTCCAGGTCATGGCCAGAATAGGATCCTCTTTGGTACTGTGTCCGCTGTACGCTCCAGCTCTTTGGCTCGTTCACTTTTTAAAAGGCCTAAGGCATTGGGGTTTCTAGCAGACCTCTATGGTCGACCTCACAGGAGATTTGTTGCTCGCTGAGCTTGACATACCACCTTGCGACACCACTGTAAGCCCACTTGCAGGTGTTGGGACAGCATGAGTACCTGCTGCTGTTTTAGCTAGTTGAATGACAGGAGCACCCCAAAAGGCCCCACGAGGAACTTTTATTGATATTACACTAACACCTGGATGCTCCAACTGAGCCGGAGTCCTCATTTTGCTGGGTGATGAACACCTGCAGAGCTAGTGCTTACAATCTAAGTAGACAAAGGGTGAGAGGGGCATTGACTTGCCCAAAAGCACACAGGAGGACAGTGGCAGAGCCACATCTAGAACCCCGCTCCCAGTCCAGGGCCCTACCCACTAGACTCTGCTGCCTGCCTGTGGTGCTGAACAGAAGCAGAAGTGTCACCCACTTACAGTCATCATTTCCCTAGCACCATTTCCATGCATGGCCCTTCCAGGTGAGGTGCATCAAGGGACGCAACAGCACCTCTTGCTGGTGCAGGATAAGGTGAGAAGGCCTTTGAACCCAATGACACGTCCCCCTCTTCCCAGCCCTGCACAAGTGAGAACACAAGAGGAGCGGCTGGAGGAGGAGGAGGACAGACTGCCGCTCAGCGCTGTCTTTTGCGGAGGTCCCCTAAGGCACAGGTTTTAATGCCAGTTTCTTTATTCTTATGGGGTCTGGTTTCCTTGGTGGGATCATGACCCTGGTTGAACTTTATGGCAGCTAATCCTGAATTAACACTTCAACAGATGCTTTAAGCCATGGAACATTTTAAACCAGACCTGGCTATGTATTATAGTGTCCTGGCACCAAACACAAGGATCTGCAGGGCAGCCCAGCAGCGTTGCAATTGCACGTGACCTGCTGATCAAATCACTCATTGATTTCCATGGAGACCATTGGCTTCTGGGCCATTGATGTACACCACCTGGAAGTCTGGCCCCAAAAGTTCCAGGTTCCAGATTCACAAAAAGTACTTAGTTGCTTGACTCCCCTTGAAATCACTGGGCAATAGGTGCCTAAATACCTTTGTGCATTTGGGTCACATACCACATTTGCTTATGGGGGAAATTCTTAATTGCAACTGGGTTTTGTCAACGGCTATGATAGATGCGCGGAAAATGACATTAACAAAGTATTAACCCTTAAAAAGACGGCATTGACCGCGCTGCCAACCAAATGAATGCTTTTATATGTCTGGCCACAGTCTCCCCCTCCCTTCTTTTCCTCCCGCATTAATGGCGGATGATTCACTTGAGCCGAACCTCTGAGTTATTTTCCTGGCTGTAGGTGTACTACTGTGATAGCATTAATATCTTTTACTTGTTGTGCAATGATTTAACATGAAGATGGTTGGGCTGTTTTTTGTGGGTTTTACTTTTTTTTAATTACTACAATTCTTGTTTCTTGATGTTCTATTTAGAACTCTGTGATGTTTTACTACTATAGATTGAAAGTGGGATGCGGGGCGGGGCAACATGGCAAAACCATAAGGAATTACAGTATTATTTAAAAAAGGTTTTAAAAAAAGAATTGTAACGCTGTGTAAAAATCCAGATGAAAATTTAAGTGACTATTAAACAGAGCTGTTAGTAAGTTGTGGGTTTGGCAAATTGGAATGTTTGTTTATAGTTTTGGTCCCATTGATGTCACTTCTGGCACTAGATGAAGTGTTCAGACTGTAACTTCCTTGCCTTTGAACTCCATTCCTGCCTCACACAAGTTGCCATGAGCCCGGCTGTCCACCAGATTAAGCAACGCCTTAACTGCTCGATAAACAAAGCAAGACCAATAGCTCCCATCAAGGCAAAGTCAGTGCAGCGCACACAGATATTAGCTACCCATTTGCCTTGCTGTAGTTGAATTCTAGGTGAATTCCTGGCACGGCATGAAAAAGGAACAGTACGTGTGTGGGTAAAGAATTGGTCGCTAGACTCTCAGATGGTGTAAATCACTAGAGCTCTGTCAACATCACTGCCAATTTGCATCAGCTGTGAATTTGGCCCTGGGCATGTGGTAAAAGTGCAAATGTTTCTGGAGGGTGTGTGATTTCCCATCCTGGAAAACTAAACTAGCATTGGTGACTGTGTCAGGTTTATAAAAACAAGGAAATGTATCCTATTTATTACACACATCAGAGAATGTCATTTAAATCCTTGCTTCGCAGACCGTTAAGCATAGTTACAACAGCCCTATGTAACACTTCCTGGGTCTAGCTTGCCTCCTTGCATTGCTGTTGTAAGGTCACACCCCAGAGTTCTCCTGCTTTTGACCAAGTGATCAAACAATATTGCTTCAGACCTAGCCTTCCTTAAAAGTCTGAAGACAGTTTTCTTGCCCTGCAAGTATCCAACACTACTGATCCCACAGTCCATACTAGTGGTACCCAACCTAGACCACAAAGGTGTTAACCATGTGGGCCAGGATTCACCAAGGGCCTCAGGCACCAGACCCTGAGAGTTGCAATGCTTAACTTTCAGGTGCCTGGAAAAAAAAATCACAAGAACACCACTGTGATCCACAAAGCCGGAGTTCAGGGCCAAGCTCCCTATAAAACAAATGGGGAGAGGTAGGTGCCTTAGAATACAATCCCCAGAAACCAGCAGGCAAGCTGGGGATCTTCCTAAACTAGCCAATGGGAGACACCAACAAATGGGCTGTGTCCTAAACCCTGCCCCTCTCATGGAGTTTGGTCGGCTGCAGGGAGGAGCCCATGTCTGCTAGTGAGCGACAACCAGGAACCTGTCGCCTGGACTCCAGGTGGCTTAGGCACCTAAGGTTTCTTGCAAGAATGAGTTAGGCACCTGCCTCACCCCACACAAGATGGTGGCAGGAGTGGGCTGTAGTGGTACCATCGACCTTATAACCTGTAGCCCCAGGCTTAGCACACAGACGTGGGAGACCCAGGTTCAACGCACCCCTCTGCCTCACGGGGAGAGGGGAGCCCCCTGCTCAAATTCTGCTGCTCAAGAGAGGGCTCTAACCAATGGGCAATAGGGTATAGTGATGTGGAGCTCCCTCCAGCTTTCCTGGTGATGTGCCCCTTTGGATAAATAGTGGAGTCATCAGGCCCGAAGGAGAATGTCTCTGTAGCCTGGTGGTTTAAGTACCCACTTGGGTGGTGGGAGATGCAGGGTCCCGTCCCCCTCCTCTAATCACTCTTTCATTATGTATCAGCCGGAGACTCCTGTTCAAATCTCCCTTCTGCATTAAGCAGAGGGGAGACGTGAACCTGGGTCTGCTGTATCCCAGCTGGATGTGATAGCATTGGGCTAAAAGTGATGTGGTGGGCAGGAGCCCTAATGCCACCAACCAGAGTTTGAATGAGAGCTGCTCTAGTAGGCGGTCTCTGAGCACATTTACTGGCTTGGGCCCCACACGCCCGGTAGCTGTTTGGCTGCCTCTCTCCCTCCTGGTTTGAGAATTGGTCTGGGCTTAACAGGTGGCTGGAGAGGAGACTGGCATCCAAATGCCAAGAACAAGGTAGCAGCACATCTGCTCTGAGGCAGAAATATTGGCGCCAAGGGAGTTTTTACTCTAAAAACGTAGGCACCAAGTGAATTTAGGCACTTCTCAGGATTCGATGCGAGTTCAGTGTATCCCAGTGGAGCCTAAAAATGGGGTCTAGTTGCCCATTAACTGCAGTGATCACAGGATCATGCCTCATGGGGCTGTCCCACCTTTTTTCCAGGTGCTCAGTTGCATTAAAATAAAATACCTTCCTTGTGTTAATGTTCCACGTAAGGGATTACTGTCGCCGCCACGGGGATGTTACATAATAAGCCACGGGGAGAGGTGGCCCAAACTACTACATATGGGAGCAGAGATGATCTGCTTGAAATGGTGGGTGAGTGGGTGGGGGGCCAGCAGCTGGCACTGGATTGCACATGCATATGGGCCACACTTGGCAAGGTTTACACACAGCGGGCCCATACCACCAGTTCCGGATACCTTCCAAGCATAGAACTGGAGGGGCAGAAGGGACCTCAGGGGGTTATCTCATCTATCTTCTCCCTCCCTTCCCCCCCAACACCACCTTCAAAAGAGCAATGCTTTTGGGGGCACGTGATGGAAAAAGCACCCAAAGGACAAGTGTAGCAGACTCTTCAGGATACGTAGGTTAAATATAGTAGTAGCACTGTTAGGTATGGCCGACTCTTTAAATGCAAAATTCCTTGCATTATAGGAGAGCATTTCTGCTAGCTGCTGGACTGTGGGTTTTCTCAGCCCTGTGCCCCCGCCACCCCAGTCTGCCAGGAGTTTGCATTGAACCTGCAATGCAATTCCTATTCAATAGCCAGCCATCCACTGCTTTTCTAAGGCCTAGTCTACACTACACGACTGTTGCTGCCTTTCAGATGCCATCCCACAATGCCCACACTGACAATTAAATTGGGGCAAGCACTGCTGTTGAGGACATGCACTGTTGATACAAGGAGCATAGGGTGGACATGCAGAAGCAGTTTAATTACTGCAGCAGCTGTAAATTGACATAACGTAGAGCGATTTAGTTTTGTAGTGTAGACTTGCCCTGAGCAGAGACTAGTCACTAATTACAAGACACTCAGTGTCACTAATTAGTAAGCAATCATGTATTAACTGTAATGTGGTCAATAACGAGCCAAAGCAGTGCAGATCAAAACATGTTCACTTTCATAATTTGAGTCAGATGCCACCAGCAGGTTGATTTTCGTTCTTGGTGGTTCGGGTTCTGTAGTTTCTACATCGGAGTGTTGCTCTTTTAAAGGCTTCTGAAAGCAAGCTCCACACCTCGTCCCTCTCAGATTTTGGATGGCACTTCAGACTCTTAAACCTTGGGTCGAGTGCTGTAGCTATCTTTAGAAATCTCACATTGGTACCTCCTTTGTGTTTTGTCAAATCTGCAGCAAAAGTGTTCTTAAAATGAACATGTGCTGGGTCGTCATCCGAGACTGCTATAACATGAACTATGTGGCAGAATGCGGGTAAAACAGAGCAGGGGACATACAATTCTCCCCCAAGGAGTTCGGTCACAAATTTAATTAACATGTTTTTTTTTAAATGAGCGTCGTCAGCATGGAAGCATGTCCCCTGGAATGGTGGTCGAAGCATGAAGGGACATATGAATCTTTAGCACATTGGCATGTAAATATCTTGCAATGCCGGCTACAACAGTGCCATGTGACTGTTTGTTCTCACTTTCAGGTGACATTGTAATCAAGAAGCGGGCAGCATTGTCTCCCGTAAATGTAAACAAACTTGTTTGTCTTAGCAATTGGCTGAATAAGTAGGACTGAGTGGACTTGTAGGCCCTAAAGTTTTACATTGTTTTGTTTTTGAGTGCAGTTATGTGACAAAAAAAATCTGCATTTGTAAATTGCACTTTCATGATTAAGAGACTGCATTATGTACGAGGCGAATTGAAAAAATTATTTCTTTTCTTTATCATTTTTACAGTGCAAATATTTGTATTAAAAATATAAAGTGAGCACAGTACACTTTGTATTCTGTATTGTAATTTAAATCAATATATTTGAAAATGTAGAAAAACATCCAAAAATAGTTAATACATTTCAATTGGTATTCTATTGGTTAACAGTGCAATTAAAATGATAATCACGTTTTTTTTAAATCGTGATTAATTTTTTTTGAGTTAATCGTGTGAGTTAATTGTGATTAATTGAGAGCCCTAATGCTTAGTTCTATCTGTAAAGTAACTTAAAATTTGCATGGAAATAAATGCAGTGCCAAGTATTATACTAATAGCAAAGATGGAATCAGATGTTAGTGAGTCATGTCCATGATTGTGATTGGTAAACATAAATGCCAAAATAATTTAAAAAATAAAGTCCCCTTCTTAATAAAAGAAAGGAAACCTTAATCACATAGGTTAAAATTAGACATATTTTTAGTGGTGTGAAAAACAATGGACTAAAATAGAGTAGATAATGGTAGTAACACCAAGTGTGCATGTTAGAGAAAGTAAGCAGATTTTATGTCTCTCTACTAAAGAAAGTGTATAAAGTATCAAATGTGTGTTTCTGAAATCTGTGTTAGAGCTCCAGAACTGATATCTCAAGGCTTGGCATTGGGAATATCTTCCTGTATTATCAACTGACTCTTCTAAATTTACATATAAACTTTAAACGTGGCTTTAACTGGAGTTTCTGTACATTTTTTCTTTCTTTATATAACCATTAGATACAGTGCACCTGTCAGCTAATTCCTAAGTTATCTGCAAAAAAAAAAAAAATTCTAGATTTTCAGCTGCCTAAGTAGTCCCTGGAATTACAGTTAAAGTTTCCTCCTCCTCCCCCCCCAAAATCTGAAATGGTGCCCGGTGAGCCAGGAGTGGCCCGAGGGCTCTGGCAAGATGTAGCCCCTGTGTGACAGCACAACGCCTGCCTTGAGCCACATGCTGAGCCCCAGGCACCACGAGCCACGGCAGCAGCACAGAAGTAAGAGTGGCATGGTACACCCTTACTTCTGCGTTGCTGCTGGCAATGGCATTACCTTCAGAGATGGGCACCCGGCCAGCACCTGCTGGTATCAGGCTGCCCTGCCAGTGCCTAATTTGTGCCAGGGCTGAGCTCTGGCATCTTTTTCAATACGAATTAAATGCTTGTGGAGGCAGTGGGGCCCAGAGGTGATGGGAAGCCCAGGGAGCCCGTGGAGACCAGGGTGTCAAAATACAAGTTCGCCCAGGGCTCTGTTTTCCATAAGGCTGGACCCCATAAAGCAGGGAGGGGATTTCACACTGAAGGAAAGAAAGGAGAGAGGAGAAACACTGAAGGTGAGACCTTGCAGAGAGGGCTAATTGTCCGATCTAGGACCATGCTCACTCACACCTCAGTTTCCCCTTTTGGACTCTTCACATGCCCAATAGCAACACTCCTGCTTCGGGGCAGGTTTGGTCTCATACCTTTCAAAAGGAAACCCTGCCAGTGGCTCTTCTACCAGCCTCCTTGTTTCCTGCACTCCAGCCTGCTTGGTTGAAACTGGCTCTCTCTCTCCCCCCAACCCAGGCCCTGTCCCTGGGAGCCAGGAAAAGTCTTCGTGGAGGCTGCGCCCACCACCCTTCTGCTCCCTGTCAAGCAATAGACTCCCCCCACCCCGCCCCAACTTTCATTTCTGGCTCTCCACGGGCTTCTCCTATCTATCCCCCACGTGACCTGCCTGTCCCATGACATTCCTTGGGCCCTCCAGAGGGAACATAAATTGTACTGCAGGTGAGGAACCCCGCTCCCCGTAAAGGGCCAGTCACCCTGGGACAGAAGGATTTAAGAGGGGGAAAACAGAGTGAAATGCATTTCAAAATGAGTCCGAGGGGAAGAAGAGGCACTGAACAAAAGGTATCCCACATGCAGAAGAAAGTGGGGAGCGGGGAGAGACTAGGAAGGGGAAAGCCAGGGAGCACAGCTGTGTTGTCCATGGAAAGGTTGTCTTGGTCAGTATTTGGAGTCTGTGGCTTAGGGCTGTGCCTGGCACAAGTAAACCTCTCTTGGCTTTAGTTAGGGAGGAGGGGTGCCCCCAGTCCAAGGCCTGACCTCCCAGGGAGGCCATGTAGAGAAATCCCATTTGCTTTGGGGAAGAGGACAGCTGACCGCAGCCATGTGCACTAGCAGCTGGGCTGGTACCTCCCAATGTTCCTCACCACCACCCATAGCTAGTGTGACTAGATAGCAAGTGTGAAAAATCGGGACAGGGCAGGGGACGTAACAGGAGCCCAAATAAAAAGAGCCCCAAATATTGGGACTGTCCCTATAAAATCGGGACATCTGGTCACCCTACCCATAGCCCAGCGTGGTCAATAACTATGGAACGGGCCCTCGGCCTAGCAAAGTGCCTAGCACCCTTTTGGTGCTAACCAAGTGTGACACAGGAATAATGGAACTAGGACCCCTTTCCCCCCCAACAATCTCATTTCACTCAGTGCCCCTGACCGCCAGAGATTAGGAAAACCTCATCAAGGGCCCCACTGCTTATTGCTAACAAGGAGCAATGACCTGCATCATGAAAAGTTTCCAGTGATTTTGGAGTCCCAACTTGAAACTCCTCAAAGGGGCCTGATTTGCAGAGGGCGGATGCTCAGCCCTTGAGGTGGCTCAGAAGTTGCGGCAACTCCAATCAACGGTGTCCTTGACAAGCTTAGGCCTGTGAGCCAAAGAGGGACTAGCCTTCCCTCTGGGCCCATAGCCCCTGCCAAGGGGGTCCACAACCAGAGCCAGCCCCATCCCTCACATAGCCAGAGGGCCTCTCCTGGTTCAGAGGAGCACCAGCCCGCCAGCCAACCACCTCCTTTCACTCCATCATTGTGTCAGATTATTCTGCCCATTGTAAAATGGAAACAGCCCCCCCACGTCTTGTCTCCATGTAGACAAAATGAGGAAGAGCCCCATGGGGGAAATGGCTTTATGTATTGTGTATAGAAAGGCACGAAGGGTAGGCTGGGTTGGAAGGAGTAGTCACCAATGCATTCAGCCCTATAGAGAGTGCAGACTACAGCTCAGTCAAACAAGCAGCTATGGGGGCATTGTCATCAATTAGAGCAGCCTTCAGGGCTTACACCAAAGGCTGTTTTGGCCCCTCCAGCAGCCCAGACTCCAGGGGCTTGGCTCTTGGACTGTGCCATCCACATGGTGCCTCTCCAAAGGAGCAAAATGGACTCTGACCCCTCATTCAGGCAAACACCCCTGGGCCTCATTCCCTGAGAAAGGAGCCCACATCTGCACCTTTTGTCAGGCAGCGATGCCCTGCAAAGGCCCAGTTCAGCCCAGTGCTGTTCCAGGAGAGACCACTAGCAGCAATGCTGAGCAGTGACAACCAAGGGCGAATGATTGACAGCACTAGCAGATTTGAATGCACCAAGCAGACACAGTAATAACAATGCATTAGACTGTCATTTGGATAAGGCCCCCCCCCCTAACAAAAACCACACTAGTAGAGATTCCATTTAGCGACACTGGATTCTATTGATTTCAACAGAGGTTGCACTCATTCAGAGTCCAGATCAGCCAGGCTTTTAAGCCTGCAGGTAAGGCTGCAAACATCAAAGTCAAGTAGCATAGGCTGCCTTCAAGGGACTAATCATGGGTCAAGTTGCCTCTGTGCTTATTTATTGCCTGGCTGAATCAGGGCCTTACATCCAAGCAAGAGAAGAGCTAGGCCTTAAGGCCCAGATCCTCAAGAGTAGTTGGGTGCCTATCACCCATTGACAACACCACAATGGTGGTATATTTTTCAGTTAGGTCAAGGGTGCCTAGAGCATAAGGACTAGCACCCTTTTAGCATTTCAATAAACTACAGCAGGTTGACAGGGGCGCCATTTAAATTGGCTCTGAGCCGTGAGAAGGGGATTCCAGCTGCTATGGAGCAGGGCATGGCCCTGTGTCACATAGAGGGGCTGTGAGCAAGGGGCTGGTGGACATTTTGTGACTGAGGAGCAAACGGGATTGCATTAACCTGTAGGCCCAGAGGCCTTGGGCACTGACTGGGATGGGGGAGCCTTTCAGAGAGGCAACCCTATGGGTGGTGTGTACAGGGAGCAGCAGCAGTTAGGGAAGGCAGGCAGAGAGTGTGACCTGGAGGATGGGCTGGCATGCACTGGGCAGTTCTCACGCCTTGCCAAGCAGTGCTGTGGCTGCTCAATAACTGGGCAGTGCAGCCCTCTGAGCTTAGGGGCTGTAGGGGAGTGGCCTTGCTACTGGTGCACCCCCTCATGGCTGGGCATGGCATGGCAGGCTCTGCCCATCTAGTGCCTCCTACCAACAGTCACTCCAGTGCTGCAATGGTTTGGCCAGGTCACTTATCGTCATCACCCGCCTTTCCAGGGGCCCAGAAAGCAATAGTGCAGCAGCCTTCCACTAGGTCTCCAGCCTTCTGGCACCAGGCCCAGGACTCATTACACCCCCCGATCTCAGGGCTTCCCCATCTTACCCCTTGTCTCAGGGGGGGTTCACACCACCCTCCTCAGTGGCCAGTAGGGGAACCCAGACCATCCTTCTCCTCTAGGTTCCAGTCCAGGGCCCTACTAGACATCAGCAAGCTCCAGCTACCACTGCCTACCTTAGCTTGGTGCTAGGCCTTTCCCACAGCTCCTTTCAGCGCTTGCTGTGCCACAGACTGTCCACCCTCCTGTGGCTCAGCAGACTGCTCTCCTATGCTTCACAGCATTGCCTCCCACTCCACTGGATCCTCAACTCCAGCCTGCCCCAAGGTCAGATGCTTAGGGCTCAGCCCGTTCGAGGGGTCTCTTACCCCTACTGCTTGCACTTACCAGGGACAGTGCCAGAACAAAAGCATGCTACAGCAGGGCCTTTCCACAGGTGAGCACGCGCAGCCTTTGTGCAAACTCAGTCACTCCCTCAGGTGGGTCCAAGCATTTCTCCAGGCCACCTGACACCCCCCCCCCCACATTAGGAACAGCTGGGAGGGTACCTGGTTGTCACAGCAAGCTGCATCTGCGTCTCCTTAAAGGGCCCCTCTTCCCCCCAAGCCTGTGACAGTGCTGCATGAGCCATAAAGGGTGAAGCCTACAGAGCACAGAAGTGGGCACATAAAGTGTTAGGGCCCTGGGTCTAGTCCCATAAGACACTGGAAACGGGAGTGCAAGAGAGAGCGATCCCAGGCGAGACAAAGGGACTAATGCTGAGTTTGGGCTGAAGAAGAACCCCAGCAGGCAGGCCTTTCACTTTTTGTGGGAGGGTTTTATTAACATATTACACTCTTACAAAATAACTGGCTTTAGCGGTTTCTCAGCTCAGGAGCTCAGTTCCTGTATTGGTGTCCCCAGCCATGCTGTTTCCATGGGGTTCGAACGGACAAGCGTGGATGGCGGTTTCACAGGAGCTAGGATTGTCAGCTGGGTGGAGCGCACTGCGGGCAGCAGGCTGGGTTTCAGGGGCAGTAGGTCAGCCCTTCATCCACGCATACCCCGGTGCTCTGGATGCTTCCATAACACACTTGCCTACAGAGTTGAACAGCATTGGGCGTGGTCTTATGGCGATCCCTTGGAATTCGTGGCAATGGCATCCCAATTCCAAATCTAGTCTCTCATGTAAATGGGTGGTGCTTACTTGGCATGGAAAGCACAAATCAGCCAGAGAGGCCTTTGTGAGTCCAGGGCAGACCTGCAGGAAATAAGCACCCGTCTCTCTCCCTCCCTCTTCTGATATGGTGAATATACAGTCCCCACCATTGCAGTTGTGCATACAGTATTCCCGTGTGGAACTGGCGTGGCTGGAGACAAGTAGTGACTGAGCTGACAACAGGGAGCTAGGAATATCAGCAAAAAAACAAATGCACATTTCAAAATGCAGAAGTACAAACTGAAACCCCATTCATTGTGAATCTGGGAGAGACCAAGCAAGGTGCCCTTTGTTCCAGAAATAATCCTTCAGGCCTTGCTGGGGAGAAGGGAGCCCTACCCACTAAAAGTCTCTGCCCCGACTTCTGCTTCTTTCAGCCAGTGTAGGGAGTAACCTCCACCCCAAACGCCCAAGGGATGTAGAGTCCCAGATTCACAGGCCAGAAGGGACTACCTGTGCTCATGCAGTCTGACCTCCTTCCTAGCCTAGGCCATAGGATTTTGCCCCGCGGTTCCTGCAGCCAGCTCAATAATCCGTGGTTGAGGTGCAGCCTATTTCTTAGAAATACCAGCGTGATCTTGGTCAGACTCAGGCCCAAGGAGAAATAATCTACCCCACTCCCCTCATCACTCTCTGACTTCCAGGATTTTCCTTCCAGCAAAAATTAAGAGACCGTCCCAAACCAAACCCCAGAATTTAGGCTGTATCTCAGGGTGAGCCACCCAGACAGGGCGATGGATTCAGCTGTGGCCTGAATTGCTAAGGGAAGCGGTGGCAGACGTATTGCTTTGGGACTTTTAAAATTAGACTGGACGGCATACCAATTCATGTAGGCAACAGTCCCACAGAGGAGTGGATGATTTAATAGGTCTATTCCAGCTCTGACATACGACTCCCAACGTGCTGGAGCATCAGGGAAATTCAAATACCAATCTCTGTCCGGTCCTGGCACTTATCTCTGTAATGGGTCAAACCAATTCCTGAGATCAAAACATTTCTGATTCACTTTGGGAAAATATGGATCTGAATCCAGATCCTGCTTCTGTGGTCATGGCCCATCTCACCCCTCCCATCACAGGTATCCATTCCCCCGGTCGGCTCAAAGACAGCAGTGTGACTGAGCCAAAATGTAAAACCAAATCAGCACAGCCTGAGGAACAGAGCTGGTCACAATATTTTGAATTTCAAATTTTTTCTGGGAATTAAAAAAAAAATTCCCATGAATTTTTGCCCCGTTTTCTGGTTAGCTCTGCCAAAGCTACAAGAACTTTTATTTTATTATAGTCATGAAGAATACTGGTCAGCTGTTGATCTTTCATTTTGGTTACAAATCAGGGCATGTTGCAATTCAAGTGACAGGGGAAGTTTTTTGTGTTGCTTTGTACTTTAGCAACACAAGAATGTTAGATTAACTTGGTCATACAGTGCGAGTGCTGATGGGCATTTTGAACAGAGCTGCAATCCCAGCTGAGCCGCACAGCTTTTATGTTTTCTGAGTTACTCGTAGTGATAGTGACATGCTAGATTGACCAAAGGCTTGTGGCCTGGGCTGCCGGGTGATCTGAAGGCTGAAGTCCTCTGCTCAGCCACACTTTTGGATGGACGGCCTCAGTCAATCAAGGGCCCAATCACTCCTTGGCCTCCCTGCTCAGACTGCCCGCAAAAGCTGTGAATAGGCTAGGGCTATTGTACTAAAATTGCCCACCATCAGTTTAGCCCCAGCCGTGGCAGCAATAAGGGAAGCAATATAAGATGGAGTGGCAGTGAACTCCAGGGTTTGAAAGGTAACCTGCAAAGCTGCTTGGAAATCTTCAGCCTACCTTCATATGATCAGCAGTTATGTTTTTAAGTCCTCCTAATAACTTTAAAGGAACAAATTTTTCTTTTCTCTTTTACCTCTACAGAAAATGTACCTTTTGGACAACCCTTTTGGCCTCCATAGTTGGTGTAATGTCCTGTCCTGTTAAATAGTGACAACACAAACCCCAGGCTGATGTGATCTGAGCTCCTGCTAGTCAGTGAGATTTTCTCCCCTCCTCCGCGCTCTGTGCTGGGAGGCAGCAATGTAGCCGCTTTAATCAAGCCAGTGGAACGGCTGTAACCAAAAAAGTGTAGCAGCTATAACCAGGAAGATGGTAGCAGAGCAGCGCATATAAATAAAGACAGGGGCATGCTGTTTGCATCTGTTTGGTATGCAGATAGCAGTGATGTCAGCAAGGGGAAGAGCTTAGTCGCTTGCACTCATTTTCTTCCCTGAGGTGGGAGGGGGAGAAGAGCCACTATTTTTAATTCTTAAAAAACCCCCAAAAACTTAAAAACAAGATTTCAGACACAAATAGATCCAGCAGGAGTGGCTCTTCATAGACCATTAGTCTCCTAAACTGCAGAAGCAAACAAACTGCAAAAAGCTTTGCAGGATACCATTCTGCACCATGTTGTTTACCTCTGCCCATCACAGATCTACACGACATGGGTCTTTGTGGCTGTCTCATTCACACCAATGCGCTCATCATAGCTAGCACTGGGGCAGTTGAATTTGGGGTAGCCACGGTGGGGGATTTTAGGCAAAATTCACCAGTGTAAGAAAGGCCAATGGGACCAGTTAGTCCTGGTTGTGACAATAGTGTTTTTATAATGCATACCCCACTCTGCCAGCAATTTTACTCATTTTATCCATACCAATGAACAGCAGGACAGAAGTTTCCTGTGGCATTAGTAGCTGTGCAGTGGTATCTGCCATATGTTTGCCAGAACTCTCAGCCACTTCCTAGAATCCCCCTGATGACAAAATGAAATGCAAGGAAAGGTGGATACTGCAGGCAAAGACCAAGAATCCAGTTTATATGAGTATCAAACCCAAGGCCATTATGAACATGTGACCATTTCAGAGGACAATTAGTTACCAAAGGGCCAACACCACCTCTTCACATATTACAAAGAATGGACTCTAGGAACAGCCTACAAGAGGAGAAGAAGCTATACTAGATTTCTGTGCTCATCCATGTGAAGCTGCCATTATTAGACAAGAAGTTAACAGTGATTATTTATTTCCCCAGTCAAAGGAGAACGCTAGTTATAAAACCTGGGCCAGATCGTCAATGTAGCTCCATTGACTCAAAGAGAGGTATATCAATATAGAGCAGCTGAGGAGCTCTCCCCATTAAGATATGCAGCATTTTCAGAGAGGCAAAAAATCAGTAATTACTTAACTAATAATGTGCCTGGGGGTGCAGCTATGCTCTAAATACTGATCACCACTATTTAGAAAGACAGATAGTACTGATGATCTCCAACACCACTTTGCTAGAGCTAAGGAAAACCTTTGTTTTGAGGATGTGATAAAATGCAGTGCATAAAGTGCTGCAAGATCTTTAAGGCTCAGCTGGGTTTGATGAACACTTATCTAGCTCTGTGAACAGCATCCACTGCCCCTCCATAGCTCTAGTCAGTGGAAAAGAGGTTCAGGGCTAAATGGAAATGTAAGATAGATGGTTTTTGCAGCTCATCCAAACTCATCTCTAAATTAGTGTCTCTGGGCAACTCTAATATGTCTTTGGTTCCCAGCATCTCTGGATTCAGATGCATTCTCTTCCAAGGATGTAACAACCCAAGTGCTGACCACAGCAATAATTGAAAATAGTCACAGTTCAAGATCATGGTCCTTTCTCCCCACCTTTATGATAGAGTAGTCAAAAATGCTCAGATGATGGAGCAAACTGAATGCTCGTCCAGCTCGCTCCACTGTCTGAACCTTGTCATACCTCCTTTTGGCAGGGACAGGTCTGAGACAAAATCCTGGATCTGGAACCCACCCCAGGCTAGAACGTTGGAAAGGTTTGGATTGGGGCCATCTGCACTTTTTAGAAAGCAAATTTTGAATCATTCACTGGAACCTCTGAATGATCTTCTATTGTTCCTGGAGTAAAGGAGTGAGAGGCGGTGTTTTTAAATAATAATCCTAATTAAGAAAAGAATCATAGAGAGACATGGGATCATTCAGGCTATATTGATGTGCATTTGCTGCCTTTTGCTATTAAAGTGAGCTAAGACAGCCAATTTTCTTCTGATCTCATACCAGTTTGTAATTTCATTGACTTCAGTGGCGCTACTTCTGATTTACACCAGGGTATGCGAAAGAAGAACCAGGACCAGGATCTATAAGGTGGATGATGATGCCCAAACCACTCATACAAGGGTGGCCAGACAGGTGCCGCTGTGGATACTGACTTATAAGCAATGCTATGCCAGGGACAGACAAGACAGCAACCAAACATGATGGCCTTCTGAGAAGTCTCTCTGGGATCTTCTTTATAATCAGCCAAACTAAACGCCTGGAGCTTGGGGAGAGGGTCGAACCCTGGCTCTTGGTCCAGATTTTGTGGCTTGAGCCCATCTCTGCTCCATGGCATAAGAAATTAAAACCACCACCACCACCATACACAACACAGAGCCAGGAGCCTTTCCCCCACCTCTTAGAGTACACATAGAGAGGCGTGTCCCTGCAGGATCAGGCTGGGTACCCCATTCCTAGCTGGCAATGTTGAATCTTCAGATTACATGCAGTGATGAGGAGGAGGAAGAGGCAGAAGATGAGAAGATTATTTATTTCCATAGATTTTTATAAAAAATAATTATCAAATACAAAAAAACAAAAATAGCAGCAGTCTCAGTTGTGAATGAAACCCTAAGGCAACAAAACGCTCAGTGTTACTACAGAAGAATGAGATTCTTGTTACATAAAAGCTATTGATTCACGAGAAGCAAACTCTCTATTGGAATTCCCATCAGCTCTGTCCTCAGCTGCTCTCACCCTGGTATTCCACACAGCTTTCCCACCCCATGGCATCCCCTTTTGCCAGAATACTCTTCTCTGTGCCTACTGTGTAACGTTAGCTAGCATCTGCCCACAGCATGCATCTGACAAACACTCCCATCAGCAGTGGGACCCGGGGCTAGTCCATAAGGCAAAGCTTTTCAAACCCGAGAGCCTAAAATTCCCCACCTACATTGGTGGCCTGGTTTTCAGAGGCACCTGCAGCTCCTATTGAAGTCAGGCTGGGAAGGGCAGAGGCAGTAGGATGCAGATATTTGAAATTCTCCCATCTCCCCACTGAGTGTCACCCTTACTCCACACATCCTGAGCAGCATTTCTGCAGTCCCCAGCCTGCACACAGGGCCACTCCAGCTGCCCTCAGAGCCTATCATCAGCTACGTCTCTGTTTGGGCAGCACTAGGTCCTGAATGCTGCTTAGCAGCTTCAAACCTGGGGGACATTACTGACCTCTGGTGAGTTCAGTTAACCAAGGTTTTGCTGTCCTGAAAATCTCACAGCAGAGCCTGTTCCCAAGAGATTCCCAGCTAAATGCTACAGAACAAAGAGGTTATGATAGGCATCCCCTTCTCTGGGTGTTCATCCAAACCCGTGATGCCAAAATTCATTCATCACTACAGATTAGTGCTGATTCAAAAACAACAATACCCTGCTAAACTCTGCTCTCAGTGACCCCAGGGCAAGTGCTGCTGAAGCAAGTGGAATTGTGCCACGGTAACTGGGCCTACAGCATTCTAGCTGCAATGACCCCTTTGTTGGCATGTCACTGCCCCTGTGGCAAGGATCTGAACTTGGTTTCTGGTCTCACTGCAGTGTTTCCTGCTAGAATTGGGGCCTTGCATAATCACAATGCATGAACCAAAGGGACGTGGCAGCTTGAACGCTGAGGAAACATGCAAGCAGCCTCATATGGCGCTCTGCCATCAAACCAGAAGGGTGCAGAATGCATGTCCTGCACAACCTTCACGAGTTTGGGTTCTCATTCTGAGCCAGACTCAGCCTTGGTGCGAGCAGCAGTCATTCCATTGACATCAGTGGAGTTCTGTTCACTTACACCAGGGCTGCATCTACCCCTCGCTCTTCTTGCAGCTTGTTTTGAAGAGGGGACTTGACACTGAGCCGTTGTCAAAGAGGAAGCTTCTTATCAGAGGATTCCCCACTTTTTAGCCCCTTCCCCTTATTCTAAAGGCATCAGACATCTAGAAGAGTGCATGGGCCCATCAGCACAGCTCCTTATATGGCTGTTGAGTAGGGCTGCTTGGAAAAAAATTCTTTCCTTGCAAAATTTCAACTTTCCAGCAAAAATTCAAAAATCTAAAATTGTTGGCTAAAAACCAGAAAAATTATGATTCAGAAATACCATTGTGGTGCCTCACGGGAATTGTAGTTCAGGGGCCTCATGCCCCCACATTCTTCTATGGGCTCAGCTCCTGGTCTTCACGGCAGAGGATGTGAGGGGGATTCCCACACCTGAGCCATTCTTTTTAAGTGACACATCTGAGGATCTGTCCCAGGTTGAGGTGTCAGTAGAGGAGGTTTTGGAACAAACTAATAAATTAAACAGTAATAAGTCACCAGGACCAGATGGTATTCACCAAGAGTTCTGAAGGAGCTCAAATATGAAATTGCAGAACTGCTAACTATGATATGTAACCTATCATTTAAATCAGCTTCTCTACCAGACGACTGGAGCATAGTTAATGTGACGCCAATTTTTAAAAATGGCTCCAGAGACGAACCTGGCAATTCCAGGCCAGTAAGTCTAACTTCAGTACTAAGCAAATTGGTTGAAACTATAGCAAAGAACAGAATTATCAGACACAGATGAACATGATTTGTTGGGGAAGAGTCAAGATGGCTTTTGTAAAAGGAAATAATGCCTCACCAATATATTAGAATTCTTTGGTTGGGGTGGGGTGGGGGGTGTCAACAAACGTTGACAAGGGTGATCCAGTGGATATAGCGTCCTTAGGGGGATGGAACAGATTTGATATGAGGACAAAATTAAAAAGTCAAGGGCTGCTCAGCTTGGAAAAGAGACAACTAAGGGGGGATATGATAGAGGTCTATAAAATCATGAATGGTATGGAGAAAATTAATAAGGAAGTGTTATTTACCCCTTCACATAACACAAGAACCAGTGTTTACCCAATGAAATAAATAGGCAGCATGTTTAAAACAAACAAAAGGAAGTACTTCTTCACACAAAGCACAGTCAACCTATGGAACTCGTTGCCAGGGGATGTTGTGAAGGCCAATAGTATAAGAGGGTTCAAAAAAGAACTAGATAAGTTGATGGAGGATAGGTCCACCAATGACTATTAGCCAAGATGGTCAGCGATGCAATCCCATGCTGTGGGTGTCCTAAGCCTCTGACTGCTAGAAGCTGGGACTGGACGGCAGGGGATGGATCACTCAATAATTGTCCTGTTCTGTTCATTCCCTCTGAAGCATCTGGCATTGGCCACTGTCAGAAGACAGGATACTGGGCTAGATAGACATTGGTCTGACCCAGTATGGCCGTTCTTATGTTCTAACCTCCTTCTCCTATGATGCACTACAATCTGCCCTCTTGCTGAGCCACTGTGGTATATCCGAAGAGTCCCTCACCACAGTGCATCATGGGATATGTAGTCCAGCTGGGGGCCTGGCCATGGAGAAGAATGGGGGCATGAGGCACCATAACAGGATTTCCAAATCAAAATTTTTCAGATTTTGGCTGAAAACTGCAAACTTTTTGGTTTTCAGGTGTTTAGTCAAAATTTTCCACAGAAAGCAGACCCTTTCTGTGAAATATTCTGCTTAGTTAAAACCTCAATTTTTCATCAAATAAGCAATTTCAACAGAAACGTTTTGAGAAGCCCTACTGTTGAGTGAAGTGACACACTGACTCGCCTTCCACCTATCCCCTGGAGCTGCGCATGGATTCTGCCGCTCCCAGCTCAGGGAAGGGAGAGAGACCAAGACATGGGACTTGATGTAGGGTCCCACACAGTAGAGCAGGGGGGTTTACCCTTAAGGACCCCTTTTGACAGGCCTGACAAACAGACCAGCAAGAGCCAAAAATCACAGAAACTGCATGCTGGCCTTTGAAATTCCCTGGTCTCCCTACTGAGTCACTCTCCCTCCAGATGCTCCTCAGCCGGAGGAGAGGAGCGTTTCCACATTGAAATGGGCCTGGTCAAGACTGGCTTCACAGCTTGCTCCATTCCTCCAACCTTCCACTGTCAAAGGAAAATCTCTGGCTGGATCTTTCCTCAGCCCTAATCCAACAGCAGAGAGACCTTGAGACAGTCACATTTTCTCTCCCTACTCCTCTTTCCCCATCTTTCTATCCCCTTTCTCTCCTCCCCTCAACCCCTCTTTTCCATTTCTCTTCAATTACCTGCCTCCCTCCCTCTGCAAAGTGATTCCAAAAATCTGTTATGAATTAAAAGGGGGTTCATCGAAACCCCAGATCTGAAAAATCTCAAACACTGGGGGAAATTCACAGCTGGCTCTAAGTCCCAAGTCTGGCATCTGTCTCCCATGAGCTGATTCCAACCCACTTATGTGAACTTCCAGGAAGACTGGTTCTGGATCCAAACGTTGTTGGTTGGGATCATACTTCATTAGAAACTCATGTGAATTATTTCACTGGTGACCTACGGAAGGGAGAGGTCAGGCTAAGAGATCTCTTGATATTTTACGGTATAAGCTAAGGGCAATGAAGATCAGAAAAATGAACCCCAAAGGAAAAAAAAAGGAAAAGACACAAAAATTCTCCTGGGAAGTGGTTTAAGCTAATGCAGCATCTCCCAAGTGTCCTCTGAGAAGTTGCCAATACCATGTTTGTATCATGGAGATCCCATGACCAGAGAGGAGGTTTTAAGGAAAATGGACCTTATCTTTATGGATGGGACGTTCTTGGTTGTCTGGCTCTTACACTTTCCTTTCCAACCCAGGTCACCAACAACTGAAGGGGGAGAAAGATAATGTGAACAAAGGAGTGACTAGGATGATAACACAGTCTGAGACAGCTCATTCGAGAGTATTCTAGAATAATGGCCCTTAGTAGAGTATTCTGGAATAACAAGCCATACTAGAAAATTCTGGAGTAATGGACCATATGAGAGTATTCTAGAACACTGGAACATACTAGAGTATTCTGGCATAATGAACCACCCTAGAAAATTCTGTAGTAATAGGCCATAGTGAAGTATTCTCAAGTGATAGCACTATAGTATTCAAGATTAACCATCATGTAGTAACACTATAGTAAGCTGTAGTGTTTGGTAGAGCTATTCAAGAGTACTGTCATATATTCTGAAGGATAACCATATCTCAAATACTTTCTTAGGGCCAAATTCTGAATGAAGCTGAGCACATTCAAATCCCATTGAAGTCCCTGGGATTTGTAGGTGCTCAATACTTCTTAGCATTTGCCCCTAATTTTGGGTTACTGGCAAGGCATCTGCTATTAGAATTAAAGGCCCTGCTTGGTGTCGCTCTGTTTCCTTCTCCCTCCCAGCAAATTATGGGAAGTTCACTTCTTTACCAACCTCCAACCACTTTTTCCAACAGTTGTACTTCACAGCAGCATGGGTGTTACAAAGGGTATTCTTTCTCAGCTTAATAAACAGCAAAAAAAATATAATATATATATATAAATATATATATATATATAAAATTATGTTTAAATATTTGCAGAGAGATCACAACTGCCTCAACCTTGCTAAATGAAGCCTATACAGTAGAGGAAGTAAGAAGTGAGGAAATTCAGAGCAAACACAGACACTCGTAGGTGGCAAACCATTGATACAGTAACATAAAGTGTCCATGGCAGCTTCTCATCTGTTGGCTCTAGGGCCTGATCCAAAGCTGGCTGAAGTCAATGGAAAGACTCCTCCTTGCTGAGTTCACTGGGCTTTGGCTCAGATCCTGGATCTCGCTTTTGGTTCTGAAAGGGGGTGATAGAAGGGTAGGAAGTGTAACTATGTGTTGAGCAGATTTGTCTTCCCGCTCTCAATCCACCATCTTCTCACTTGTTTCCCCACCTCTCCTCATCATGCACATCCCTCCTTTCACACGATGCCTCAGAATGCTGGGTGCCTGTGCCCAATTTCATGCAGAGATCATCCTTATTTTGATTCTGACCCCTTCCCATCTCCTCCTCCCAATTCTCCTCTTTCCTCTCCCAAGCCGCCTTTTACTCTCCCACCGGCCCCGGTTGTTTCACATTTATTCCTCTGTTGCTCGCCTCGCCCACAGAAGCCGCTCGTGGTGTCATTACTGATTCTCTTCGGCTGCTGGGTCCCGGCAGGTGCACTCATCTTGGTCACAGTCAGCAGCAAATGGGATCACCTGAGGGGAAGGAAAGAAGCAAATGGGTTTGCAGAGTCGCTCACTGGAAAAGGGATCTCAAACCTCATTACAATGAGCCCCTCTGAGGATCAAGAGGGTAGAATACAAGGACCAATCACTTTTTAATTGGTTCCAATAACTAGGGCTAACCTAGGGCTTTCACTGTAGTCAACTGGGGTCTTTCCATGACTCATTGAGAGTTGGGTCAGGAATGAAGTTAGGCACGACTGGTCACCCAGATAGCCAGTACAGGAGCCAGCCAAGGTCAGTATGGTTCTTCTTATGTATCACACTAGCACCCAAATGGCTCAATCAGGTTTTGGGCCACATTATACTGGATGCAGCCCATATCTTAAGACATGTTCCATGCCCTTCAGGGGTTGAATGGTGGAGAGTGGGGAGAAGTAGAGGTACTTCTCCAAACTCTACCCACAAAATAAGCTCCTACCATCTGAGAGGCCACAGTGCATGTGTTCATGACCATGCCTGGCATCTGAGTTAACAACCACAGCGTCGAATGAGGCAGGTGCCCCCTCAGTGCTATTGTTTCATGCTGTGTGCAACCTCAGGCAGATGTTTGCATTGGGTTCATGTTGTCAAGGTATATTTTGCAATCATAACAGCTACAGACCATCTTTTTTAAATGAAAGCCGAGAGGTTGAGAACACAGAGGCAGCTTGGGAGAAGTGCTGGTTAGAACTGTTAAAATTGGTATTTTCTGCAAATTTAATGGTATTTTTTCAATTTTTGGGGTGGAATTTTCTCAATTTTTGACAAAAAACTGAAAATTGGGGAGGATTGATTTAAAAAAAAAAAGGAGAGAGATTTTTTTTTTTAGCTAAAACAAAAGATTTCCAGGAAAAAAGTTGGGGTGGTGGTGTGTGTGAGGGGTAGGGTTAGATCTATGAAGTGATTTGCACTTAGGGGGTCTCTGGACTGACCTGCACCCCCTGCTCTAACCGCACTGAATCCTCCAGCTCTGCCAATGCCCATATATCCCGATTTGCAGCACCCTCTCCTATTCCAGTCCTTGACCTCCCCAACCAAGTAAGCTTGTTTTGCTATGTGGCTTAATTGGTAGCAGCAAGACTCCCAGTGTTGCTGCATGCAGCAGTTTGCTATTGGGATCTTCCTGAGCTGGGCTGTAGTAACACTATAGCAGGGGGTACCACAGGCAAGGGAGTTGACAGATGAGGGTCTAGGAAGCCATTCTTCCTCCTGGAGATCTTCATACAAACCAAACTCGGAGCCGGGAATTCTTTGTTATTTAGAGACGTGTTGGGTTCTTTCAATCTGATCTGATGAAAGGTCTGTGCCAGTCATTTTGTATTTGAGCCTAACGTCTCACTCTCCTCCATTTCTGATCATATGAACAAAGCAGGTGGGTGGGTTTTTGTGCTCATGTGAAAAGCTAGTGGGGCTCTGAGGAGATGGAACGAGTCGTTCTTTTCAGTGGTTTGATTTGACTGCTTTTCGGAGGATTCACAATGGAGCTAGGTAACTGCTACCTCCCCCCTACCGACCCCTGCCCTCCACCACATCACCTCTCTCCATCTCCAAGATGCCAACATTATTAGGATCACCAGAGTTTCACTCAGTCCTATCCCTACAATGTACCACCACAATTCTGTAAAATCGCCAAGTGAAATTGTAGGTGCTCTACTCTAGTTATTTTAGCACAACACCCATTTCCTGTCATCCAGCTTACACATTAGCAGTTGATTTTCATTTTTTTAATATGTGATGAAAGGACAAATGATTTGAGATCCATAATAAAGGGAAGGAAGAAAAGAACCAGACCCACATATTTTTGGAATGAGAAAGTAACTGTGCCCTAAGGTTTGTTTTATTCTTGGATGTCTTTTGGAAGGAAACATTGTGAAACCAGGGTGTGATGGCAGGGGTAGTAAAGAAGGGAGCTAGGGATGGGAGAAAAAGAGGGGCCAGCTTGATTCACAAATCAAAAGAGGCAACTGCTAAATTACCCACAGGCACAGCTTTCTAAGGTGGAATACAAAGGCCAAGTCCAGCATGACTGACTGAAAGAAAGAAACTGGGAGGGATGACAAAATCACTGCATCACTGAGACGCTGAGTCACGCAACACAGTAATGCCAAATCTTACTGTAGTAACTTGATGCTGTCTGAGTGACGAATTTCCTGAAGGAAAAAGAGTCCCATGGATGTCTCTGAGAGTTGGATTGAGCATTTAGTCCCATTGGCCCTGACCCCAAGCCCATTTAGGTCAATTACTGACCCCAGTAGGTTTTGGATCAAGCTCCTTGAGGTATGCTTTCCACTTGCATGGGTATCACCCTGCAGGCTCTGTTCCAAGGTACAGCGAAGCCTGTAACCATTGGCTGCCTTGAGCTCTTATTTTTAACTCAGCCCATTCCCCTCTGCCTCCTGTGGGAAGCTCACTTACCTTCCTAGAGGACAGTGTGGAGGAGCAGCAGTCACCCCCATCGTACTGGCAATACGCCCGGTTATTGATGGTGTCACACCAGCCGTCTGCTTGGAAAGGCTAGAGAGAGAAATGAGTAACTGCTGAGTGGAGACTGGCTAGAATGCTTCATGAATGGAAAACTCCTCCCAAGACCCGCGACCTCAACAAAGCCCTCATGCATCACCATCACTGTCTACGGCCCAACCCTGCCACACTTCCCCACAGCTTTGACAGTGAAAGTGTCCCCAGAAGAGCAGTCTATCAGCTGGCCAGTGTGGGGCTCAGTTTTGAAGGTGGTGTAAGCCATGGCTTGAGGAGCAATTCTGTACAGCCATGAAAAGTGAGGGAAGTGTGTAAGAAGACCACATACTGCTAGAGAAGGTCCCAAACCAAACACCCTGAAATTCAGGGAAGTTCAAATCCAGAGGTGATAGCCAGCTCTAGCTCTACAATGGACCAAACCAAACCTCAGAATCAAATGCCTCTGAACTTTGGGTGAGTTCAGAACCAGTTCCGAGCTACGTGGGCCTGCTCTTCCACTAAGTTACTCCAGTTCAATGCAGCTCCACTGAAGTCAATGTCACAGTGCAATCAGGGCCCTAGACTGACTGCATACTGGACTGACTCCAAAATCTCCCCAGCCCAGACTTTGAGAAAACTTGGCTTCACATCTGAGCTTCGTGGCTTACGCTGTACAGCTAAGTATGAGAGAGGCTGTGTAGTTTCAGCCTATTGATCACACAGTCAGAGCTCAGTACAGAAAATGGTTCATCTGCCTGGGACTAAGAAAAAGGGCAGGCAAATCCATCCAAGATGCTATAGCTTAGCTCCCAAGTATCCGTAGGAGCACTGGGTAGAGTCACACAGCACAGACCCTGATGATAACCTTATCCAGAGTGCAAAATGCTCCCACCTCTGTGCCAGCCCCACGGCATCTCTGCTGCACAGGAAAAGGGACACGGCCAGGGCCCCAACCTCATCACAACCCTCCTTTGGGGAATCTATCACCATCTTCCACATTAAACTCCTCCAGTTCCTGCCAGATGGGAGCACAAGAACCACAGTCATGCTTGGCCAGTGCACCAAGGGGAGACGAGGTTCTTGTGCCATTTTGCTTCATTTTCCTGCATGCCCACAGGGGGCAAGGCAAAATTCAGCCCCTGATTTGTGACTGTGATTCACTGCAGAGGACCCCAGCCTCATGATGACTAGAGAGAGGCGCTGGAAAACTCCCCTGCACATCCGCCTTTACCTTCAGCCAAAACTCAGCCTTTACACAACAATTTTGTAAAACTTTCTCATTGTTGTGTGTCCTTACAAGAGCTGGGCCAATACTGCAAAACAAGTGTCCAGGAACATTTGCTGGAATTGCTAAACAAATTCACTCCAACCCCCCTTTTGTGTTCATGTTCTGGGAATATTCAAGGCTTTGGGTGGGATTTGCAGAAGAACCTGAGTGATTTAGGAGCACAAGTCCCATTGTTGTTGTGCTCCTAAGTCACCTAAGTGCCTTGGAAAACACCTCTCTTGTCCTACAGTGAGATTTTTTTCCACTGGTGTAGTTAGACTGATGTAGCTACATTGCTACAAACCCCTAGTACAAATGCACTGCATGGATGTAAAAAGTGGCTGGCACTGGTGTAGGTTACCCCAGTAGCCACACAGGTACAGGTCACTTTTTACAATAATGCAGCATGTATTCATCTTGGGTTAGCATTGGTGCACCTCTATCAGTGTAGCTAAAAAAAATCCCCAGACCAGATAAGCCTCTAGTGAATAAACTTAACTCACAGACAAAAGGGAATTTCAGATTGCACAACTACCCAACAGGGTAGCTCTCTGACTGCAAAGCTTACACTTAAACACACAAGTCAAAATTTGCACCATTGCTGGTTAGTTACAGGAGTCATATAATCATGGAAGAGAAATACCCAGTCAGGGATGAGAAACAAGGACATGTGACTTGTGTAACTGAACACCATTGCATGAATTTGAAGTATTTGCAATGAACTGTTCAGGAACAAGCTGCAACTGAGAACTATTTACCAGAGAAATTCATGAATAAACTCAAGTAACACATAAATGTGATGTCACACTCTAGTCATAACAGAAAGGAGGCAGCATTCATTGAATAAATTATTAGGAATTAAATATTCACCTGGCTCTAGTCTCCATGCTATTGGGTACTGACCTGCACCAAAAGCCCCTGGAAAGATTATTCCCATCAGGAGTGGGACATATTAGAAATACAGCCAGAAATCCTGATCTTGTCAGATTACCAGTTCCATTTTGCAGAGCAAAGTGGATTTGACGGCCCAAATGGACATCCAGCCTTTTGAGCATTGATCTGAACCAAACTTCCAAACCTCCGAGGTTCACCCCCCATTAGCAGAACCCTCCCCATCTAGCCAAGGCACGCGTTACTGAGAATGAGCAGTAAAACACAATGGCATTATCCCCACAACAGTGGAAGCCAAAACGCAGAACCAGGCACCACAAGTGCCGCAGCTCTCCTGATGCGGAAGCAATGCTGACAGAGGTAACTGTTGTGTATTGTGGACACAGCACAAATTACTGACGTGCATAGACTTGGAACCGTGAGGGCTAACTGACTGTGTATTGTATTAGATGAAAAACATAGTAACCCACTATATAATAGCGGATTCAACATAAGCAACTGCTTAAGAAGCTATATCTGCAAATTCACGTAAACAGATTCAACACTCTGCTCAAAACATTCCCTACATCACCTCTATCCTGCTCCCTGAAATGAAATGAGCACATCAACTTCAGAAGTACTTGGGGGTGTGGGGGGGGGGCGCGGGGGAGAACAAGGTCCAGTTACAAATCAAGGCTTTCAGGTGGCTTGCGTTTTCTTTCTGGATAGCATCTGCGAACATTTTGAGCACTCCCTTGAGGAAGCAGTGTGTTTCCAGCAATGTCTGACTCAGATGTTCCCTTGGACGACGCCGGTCATTCAGCGCAGCTGCTTTTAGGCATAATGTTATTGGTGGTTGTGTCAAACTGGGGCACCGATGTTGGAACAACTGGCAGTTCTCCAAATTTTGCCTCTTTTGTCAGCCACGGAATCACACCCAAATCTCGCAACTGGTCAGTGTGGTGGCACCAAAACATATTGGGTGCCACTTGTACGATGTAGGACAAAGGACCTGTTTGTGCACTAACAATTGCTGCAAGCCATGTACTGTGTCCCCGATAATAACGCGCCAGAACAGTTTGACCCACTTGTAGCTGACGGGGTGCACTGGTCCTTCACCATCGCTTGACTTATTAGATGATTTCTAACTTGTAGATGTAGCTCTGGCGTTAATAAGTCCAAAAGGTGACTTGAGATTTTGGCCAATAAACAGCATTACAGGTGTTTGGTTCGTTGTGGTACGTTCTGTGTTTCGATATGCTAGCAAGAAGCATGACAGCTTTGGTTGTAATGACCACTTATCTGCCATGGATTGCAGGGTTTGCTTAAAAGTTTGTACTAACCTTTCAACAAAGCCATTTATGTCTGGGTGATATGGTTTTTCTTCATGTCTCGCTGAAACTCTTCTGAACTAAACTGAGGACCGTTGTCACTCACAGCTTGCTCTGGCAGTCCAGTTCTTGCAAAGAAACTTGGAAGTTTTTCTCCTGTTTGTACAGCTGTGGTGGTTTTCATGAAAAAAAAAACAAAAAAAAAAAACAACTTCTGGCCATTTGGAATGGGCATCCACCACTATTAGATACATCATTCCTAAAAATGTTTCTGCACAATCAATATGTAGAAATGGCCAGAGAGCTGATGGCCATTCCCAGGGGTGTAATGGCGCTGGTTTAGGCATGCACTATTCATGTTGGCATCACGAACATTCCCTGAGCGAGCTGCTGTATTCGTTGGTCAATGCCTGGCCACCATACAAAACTTCTGGTGAGTCCCTTCATTTTTACTAGCCCTACATGTCCTGTATGGAGCTCTTCTAATATTTTTGCACATAGTTTACTAGGTATGACAACACGAATTCCGCATATGACATTCCCTTGATTTATGGTAAGGTCACCTTTGTGTGTGTAAAAGGGCGCCAGATTAGGGATATCAGTCTATTTCCGGCTTCATAAACCTCAGCTGGTGTGGGATTCCTCCTGGTCTCTTGCTTGATCAAACTACAAGTCGCAGAAACTCCTTCCCTCAGATGTAGGATTGCTACTAGGGATTGGTGGTCCGTGACAAGGGTGAATTTTCTCCTATATAGATACTGGATGAATTTCTTCACACCCCATACCAGACTTAAAGCCTCCTTGTCTATTTGTGCATAGTTAGGTTCTGCCATTGTGAGCGATCTTGAAGCAAATGCTATGGGTATCTCACTGATGCCTGGCATTCTGAGCCATATAATTACTCCAATTCCACATGGGGAAGCGTCACATGCTAACTTAATAGGCAAGGATGGGTTAAAGTGCACTGTCTGATGTGACCAATTGTTTTGCTTCCAGGATAATGTTTTGACACTCAGCTGACCAAACCCACTTTTGACCAGTCTGCAGTAACCAGTTCAGTGGATGCAATATGGTTGCTGGGTTTGGTGCAAATCGGCTATAGTAGTTGATAAATCCCAGAAATGATCTAAGATGTGACACATCCTTTGGCGGTGGAGCTTTAATCTTCTCCTGAGATTTATGTAGGCCCTGCACATCAATAATGTGCCCATAATAAGCCATTGAGTCCTTGAAAAATTCACATTTTATGCAATTAGCTCATAACCCATATTCTCCTAGACATTTTAATACCCTTTTCAGGGTTTCCAGATGTTCATCATCACTTCCACCGGTCACAGTAATGTCATCCAAATAACATTGTGTTCTCAGGACACCTTGCAAAACTTGGTCCATTGCCCGTTGCCATATAGCAGGAACTAAAGCAATACCAAACACTAGCCAGTTATGCTGGTACAGACCCTTTTGTGTGCTGATTGTGAGGTATGCCTTAGACTCTTCCTCAACTTCCATCTGTATGTAGGACTGTGACAAATCGGTTTTGCTGAATTGTTGTCCCCCTGCCAGTGTAGCAAAAATATCGAGGCGGGGGT